AATTCCAAAGAATTAAGCACCCTGCTAAGTCTGACTGCCTAAGAGATTGATAGAGTAGGAAGTGCTAGAAGCACTTTTAATTTTCTGAAATGGTGACATTTATTCAATCTAATATGTTGAAGGCTTTAATTACAAACTAAAGACACCCTTTAAGTTGGGGCCAAAACAGTAGAGCTCGATGGAAATAAGAAAGATTATGATTATATGATTATACATACTGCAAGCTCCCTTCTTTATGGACCAAAATAGTTGTTGTTTTCAGACATTTAAATGAAGCACCTGCAGAAAATTCTCTTGCTCAATCATCTGTATACAACCTTGTTTCTATACGGCTTTCATGGAAAAATCTGTTTACATAATACATGTATATGCCTGTATTCAGTACCATGCTTATCCAGATGGTCAAAGCTTCATTTCGGTTTCCAATCCACTTGAGTCCGTGTTACATCTCTGGTTCTGATTCCCAAGTGATGCAGCACCTTAGTTGTTTGCTGTTGGTCTGCACGATCTCTAATTCACCATGATATCAGAATCCTCATGTAAGCATTGAAAGTCTCCTTCATACTGCTGTAAGCAGGGCGCATCAATGACAGACCTTCCGCTTCGAGTTTGACGAACCCACCGACTGATCAACCACATAAATTCCTAGGGACCATGGCATAACATCTTACAACAAATCGATAGTCGTCTACAAACACTGTAATCCAAAAACTCACAATGGACAAAATGAAACTATATGCAATTAAACAAAAGAGAACAAATCAAATTTAATACCCTAACTCTATAAGAATATAGAGCAACCCAGTAGGTAGAGGTCAAATTTCCATATGAAGAAAAAAGCTTTTGAACAATAAAAGTGAGATTGTGTGAAATAATGAAACCAGAATACGCAACATATAATAACTTCCTCAAACTCAATTGTTTGCGTTAGCCAGGTAACTTGTGAGAACTATGTTTTGCTACCAAACAAACACATTCCCCATGGTTCCAATACAGACCAAATGTTCTAGAAAAATATCATCGAAAAAAAGAACTCAGTTTATTATTTGTTCTATATTCCATTCAAGTACCAAGAAGGACAAAGAGAAAAGATATTAAAGCGTAAACCAGGTTACCTAACAAACTTGTCCCTTTGACCAAGCAGGTACCAGGTCTTTACCCAATCTTACATCTTGGGAGCTGTATACATCACATGCAAGTTAGTAAGAAATAGATTTCGATTAACTCATGACCCAAAATTGTGGATTCTATCCTCCTTTCTTATCCCAATTTCACATCCAAACTTTAAAGTGGTTGATACTATCATGTCTAGTGCCGGCGCAAAGCATATAACCAACAACTTCACTATAAAGCCAAGCACACATTACTTGAGAAAATTTGAGCTGAAAACAAAGCTATTCAGCAAACATATCTACATGACATAAATAACTAACTGCAGGTTTTATCTAAACACAATCCGCCCTAGATAAGTTTGACTCCTATGATCGTGTTTTTGGGATTCCTTACCAAAATGTGCTCGCACTACCATTTCTTCAAAACACCACAGCGAATCGCAGCACTACCAGTCATGCATATTCTCTTTCTAATTTCGACTTCAGTACATGTTTAGAGCAAAATTTTAGTATCAAGGATTCTCCTGTTGGAATAATTAACACCGAAAGGCTTGTAATTGCATATTCCTAACTAAGTCTTTGAAAATAATTACGTGGACAATGAACGAAGGTGAAAGAACCAAAATCAAAACTTGTGCAGGGAGGAACAAATACCCGGGAATTGGTGGGTACGCATCCACTCTAAGCGTTCAGCCTCAATTAACGCAAATGCATTCACCATATATTGTTGAAACAATTTACCAGATAATAACAGAGAATTCGACTCCTGGAGACGGGTTTGAAGACGATATGCATAGAAATCACACTGGGTTATCATTTTATCTCCAACACTGATATTACAGCTACTGTGACTATAGCTAATGCAGGGATGCCACCCATCCTCGCCATATGGGAATAAAATTGGATATTGTAATGCCATCAGACTTGGATGGTATACGCTAATCCTTTCCATTTCTGAACCCTTCTGTTGAACAATAATATCTGGAGAAAATGATTGCTCTCCTGTTTCATCTACAATCAATGCTGCAATCTCATTCGCAGAGGGCAAATCATATTCTCTACTATTAATTTCACGCTTAGCCAATAATTTCACGCAAATCATATCTCGCGCAGAACGAAATGTACGTACCAGGATATTATTGTCATCAAACATATGCTGGAGGCCTTCAACAATACACTGGCGCAACGGATTCTTGGCAGGATCAGTGGAGTAAAAGTCCATACGATTCTGCACCTCGTTATCTGAATCATGAATGTAAAGCTGTGCAAATTTCGGACTATCCCCATCACCAGGAACCAAACATCCTATTCGATGATAAATCTGACCACCGATTGAATATACATAAACTCCACGACCATCATTAATAGAGTGATTGACTTTACCTCCGAGAGAAATAAAGCAAAAAACCCCATTATAGGCTCTGATGTTAGTACGAAAGTGACGCGCTAATGGTGTATCCCCTTCAAGTAGAGTTTTAAGAAATTCGGGCACATCTCTGCGGGGAGGCAATTTCACTTTACCATGTTTGCAACATAAAGGAAATGCAGGCAACACATCATTCCGTGTAGATAAAGTACTCTCGAACCGCCACATAACTGCTCCACAATGTTGACACGTACATGAAGGTGGACCAATATCAAAAAATTCAACCAACGGAAGACCTAGTGAAATAGATAAGTAATATTAATAAATTTTTGTCACAGTAATTCATAAATTGAATGAGTTTGAGAAACTGTGAAGCCGATTTAGGCGCGCTACAGTAAACACAATTATTAAAATAAATGTTCTCAAGGCAAGATAGATTGGTATACCGCTCATTTTAAGTAAGAATAAGTCAAATTTCAGGAAACACCAAAGTTTGTTCATAACACACAAATTTGCCGTTGACACATCAACATCTAAAAACAATCCACTATTTGCATAAGGTGACATGGAGCGTACATCACTAAATTATATGCATGACATAAATGGGTACATTATATGTTCTAAAACCAAAATAGGAAACAAAATATGTTGACCAGAACACAAAAACATATATCCAATGTACAAAAACTAAACCAAAATAGAGATGAACCATTTCATGTATAATAGTGGCCATTAGAATCCACATACTTTGATTGACTTCTGTAGGAAAGAAACTTCGGCCACGTCTCTTTCTATGCAAATGAATACGTCGAAGTAATCGACTTTGCTTTTGTAATAGAAATCTAAACTCCGGCTCCAAAACTATGAACAACACCAAAACACATACGATATTAAAGAAATAAATAAAGATTCAACAATCTAGAATAGCCTAATTTGTAAGACTTGCTACAAAATTTAGCAAACAACAACCTTGGTGTTCAAAAGGCAAGCCCCTCCTATGAACCTTCTGTTTCAAAATATGATGTCTTCTCTTACGGGCGACTTGGGATAGTATTCGCCGAAGTTGAGAGAGTTGGAATTGTAAGGCAGTTCTTCTGCAGAATTTAAATATAAAACCATGTATTACTCATTGAATAGATGAACTAATTAGAAAAATTAAAACACAGATAACACACCTCTCTCAAATGCTTCTTCCTCTTCAGCAGATAAAACACAGCGTTGGTACTGATCTTCAGGATGAATAAACACTGCTCGACGTTTCCCTAAACAAATGAGATTCAAGGGAAAATATTAATGTCAGTTTGCATTGAAACAGTTGCGTGCTAAACCATGACACTCACATGGTACAGACGATCGATAAATCTGTGGTTGGGCAGATGGGATGACATTTGCACTATCCATATTAAATTCTCCAATAACCTGATGCAATCTGAAATAGAGGTCGTGGTAAATGATGCACCCGTTCCAGTAAATTTTGCAGATGCCATTCATATAAATTAATTAATTGTTACAACAGAAGTTGAACTCCTCACCAATTATAAGTTTGTGCGAGTTAATGACACATACAACACATCACACAAACATAACAGTCGAAGAAAAATATAACTATATAAGGCATAATTTAAATTGATGAACAAAACACATATAACAGAATGGCTTCCAAGCTTGGGGATGCAAAGGAAGAGCGAGAAGGACAACAATGTAATGGCCAACACAAATATATGTTTATTTCACCGATTTTGAGCTGAGTGATCAAACTTGCAATTACTAAAACTCTTTAAAGCCTTCCCCTGTTCCCATTAGAGCGATCAGCCGAACTTGCAGACCTTATTTTTTGGCCACTCGTCTCTATCAAGAATCAAAAAAGTGTTCGCGTTTCCCCTTTTCCAAGCCGATTCTCTTGGCACCACAATGTCCGATCACCTTCCCCAAGATCTCGTCACCAAAATTCTCGTCCGCCTGCCGCCGCCGAACGTCTCTTTCTTTCCTCTTCTTTCTCTGCGGCCCGGAAAAACTCAGCTCAAAATTGGCAGTCGGCTGCTCTCTGGAAGACAGTCTAAGCGAAGTGGAATTTAAAGTAAGCAGCTTTGTTACTTTCAAGAGAAAGGGAAAAATCAAAAATCCCCTTTTGATCTCTAGAGAATCCAATCAACAGAATGAAGCAAGGAAGGTAAGAGAGAATAAAGATAACGGAATGAAGGGAAAGAGTGGAAGGAAAGGAAATCGGAAATAAAAAAAATACAAATTAATACAAATTAAATGAGAACATGGGCGTGGAAGGAGAAAAAAGTGGGTAGTGGAGAGTTTTTTGGTTCTGAAATCAGGCAAAAAAAAAAATGAGAACGTGGGCGTGGAAGGAGAAAAAAGTGGGTGGTGGAGAGTTTTTTGGTTCTGAAATCAGGCGGGACTCCTTTTTTTTCCCGCTTAACACTCTGCCACATCAGCTTCCTAAAATCACTCTATGGGCAGGAAATTTTGAATGGGGGGTGCAGTTTTACTTTTCAGCTATAAATTATACTGTTGATATATGTTCATTTTTTTTATTGGATTGCAGTGGACTTGTTCAATCAATATCCAGTAAAATAGTCTTTTTTCTGAAGAAAAAAACCCAGTTCCAGTACATTACAGCAGCTTTCTGCTATAACAAAGTCAACAAGACACAAGAACATGTTCCAAACACATAGGAAATTATAGTCAAAATGTAATTCAAAACACGAAGGATTGGATTCTTATTCCTCTGCTGCTGCTGCTTCTACGCGGATATACTCAAGGTCCCTCTCTTGTTTGAGGCCTCCAATCCACTCTCAGCGCTCCGAATCATCCTTTTCCTGCACATCAAATCCGAGTTAACACACCGAGTACGAAGAGATTGACGAGAAACCACATCGTCAATCACCAAACAGTCACTGAACTTACCTTGCAACATTGTCATTCTCTGATTCTATGAACACCTTGCAATTTTGGGCCCCACCATCTGATAAACAACTCTGGTTTCGCGATGAATGCCCGCAGCCAGCACTGGAGGATTTCTCCTCCTCCTCCTCCTCCGACGATGAGATTTGCTTCTCATCCCGCGAATTCCTCGAGATGGATTCGCTAGAACGATGGTGGGAGATTTGCTGCTCGGTGAGTATCGGCTGACCAAAGAGGAAGAACTGCTTCTTCTTCTTCTTCTCTTGAGAGGATGAAGTAGAAGACGAGGGCTTTTCGGGGCTTGGAGAAGAGCTAGAGGAGTTGCCGTTTCCAATAGTTAGCAAGCAGGAAATGCTGCTCTCGTTGTCGCTTCCCGAGAATCTAGAATGATTTGATGGTGGTGGATTGAACTGCTTGAGAACGCGAAGGAATGGCCCGCCGGATGGTGGTGGGTGGGGGAGTTTGTTGTGATTAAGGTGGTGGAGATCGGATAAAGATACCCCGATATGAGCATGCCTGGCTCCCTGGATGCCTGCAGGCGCACTGTAATACAATGGGTTGCTGCTGGACGAGAGGGGGTTGTTGTTGTTGTTGCCCGAAAACGAAGGCAATTGGAATCGACCATCGAGCGGTCCAGTTGGGAAACAGAACTTCTTCCTTGGTGGTGATGAGAAACCCGAGGGCTGGATCATCGGTACGTTCATAACAGGTTCGACCAGCCACGGGCTGACACGCTTCACATTTTGCAGCATCTCTGGCTCGTCCCAAGTCACCTGCAATACCAACACAGACCAGAAGCCAAAAAGCCAAACCAACATCAACTGTCATTCTACGTTGGATCGATCGATCACAACTCCAATGGAGAAATGTTGTTCCATATAGAAACAACCCTTACACAATGCCAGACAGAAAACAAAGATCATAACATTGGAATCCCCGAACACAGAATTTGTACGGATAATAATGTTAATCAGGAGCTCTTTCTTAGCTTGGCATGAGCTGGCCACTCAGCAAAATTGCTTTTATCAGTCTCATTGGACTAACAAAACATGGACGTACGATCATCATTTACTAAAGATTAGACCAGCACATTGTCAAACAGCGAATGAGCTGCAGAATTCATCAGTGTCTGCATACTGGTTTATAACCAATTATGGCAGAATCAAATCAAGCTCCATTCATTCATGACTGAAATGCTAAGTACACAATTAAAAAAGATCAAATTTTGACACTTTTAAAGGAAAACAATGGCAAAGCAAAGTGTAGGGTACGAACCTGCAGGAGGCGCCATGGCGAATTCGGCCAGCGAATGGGATCAGCAACCTGAACAGAAGCTACAGTAGCCATGAACCAGCTAATCCTGGAGGAATCCTCAGTCTCGAACGGCATCTTGAACCTCATCCCAGGTGACCAATTGATCCTCATTGCAGCTCTAGCAGCAGAAGCCTTGACACAGAACTCCGGAGTACTAGCTCGCGGGTAATAGTACACATCAAACGGCCGCCCACTGGCAGCCAATCTCGCCGCCTCCAAAACCTCCTCCGGTTTCACCTTCGTCGCCGCCGCCGATCCCTTCCCTCCGTTTCTCATGGCCTTGCTCTCATCCTCCTTCAGAAACAGAGAAAAGTTGTTGTACGGGCTCGCTATCCCAGGTGCCCCGTAGGTGTTTGTGTTAATGCCCCAACCAGATTGGGGGAAAGAAGACCCTGCAGGTCCGCCACCAAACCCTCGCTTGGCGCGGCGGATACCGACGCAGAGATCGCCGTTCTCCGCCCTGAGAAACACGATTGAATCTCCGGCGACCAATTTCTTCTGGTTGACGAACGTGCTCCACCCTGTAGTCAACAGATGCCTCCTCGGAGTTCCCCTGTAGATGTGCCTGAACTTCCAAACCTCGCCGTGGACGTCTTTAGCCAACACCGTCTGGACGGGAGGATCCGCCGTGTAATCCAGCCTGGGAAAAATCGTCTCGGCGCAGTATCGCGGCACGGAGAATCCCCCGCCGTTGTTGGCGTCCGATTGGGTCAGGGTTTTGGCGAAGGAAGCCGGATTCTCTTGGATTTTATTGGTGTTGCTGCCGCCGAGCCCAATTTCTTCGCCGAAATCGAGCTCGTCGTCTGGTGGGAGAGGGACGAGGCTCATCTTGGTGTACACCTCGTCGGTTTCCCGGTCGGCAAGGAACCTCACGGCGGCGACGCGGCAGAGGATTGAGGCCGGGATTTTTGAGGCAGGGGAGGAGAAGGGGAAATCGACAGGGGACTGGCAGTGCTCCGCGTGGCCTTGTGGGAAGTAGAAGACTTTCGAGTTGAGAGGTGGGATTTGAACCATGCTCCCTGCGCAGGCGTGCCATAGCTGTGGATCCAAGCTTTTCTCTAACAGCTCTTTCATTTGCTAACCCACTAAGAAAATGAATAGTCCGGAAAAAAATGGAAGGAACCCAGATATGGAAATCGAATATCGGAGCAATTTCAGAAATCAGACTAACCGGCGAAGAAATTACCAGAAGTTGGAATTTGCAGAAGAACAGAGCAATTTCAATAACCAGACTCGACTAGTTCAGAGAAGAAAGATTGCTCCTTTATGATTAAAGAACAGAGCATCAAACATTTCTCCGAAAACCCACAATCCAAAAGGGTTAAACAAGAAGTTTGGCAGCAAAATCTCTGCACAATAACCCAAAATAGGGCTGAATCCGGTAAGGAGAGGAACTGGAAAGAAAAGGTGGGAAAAGAACAGAGACAGGGAGGAGTGAAATTTTGGTTCTAAGATTTGGCCGTCCCCCGATTACTTAAAGCAGAAGGCAGAGAGTGGTGATGGCGAAATGAGGGGTTTTGATTTCATGCAGTCGTAGTAAAGACAGCATTAGAGACAATTCTTGTTTAATCAGGGAGGCCGATCCACAGAGACTCAATACTGACGCTCTTTTTATCTCATCTCTCAGTCAGTCTCTCTCTCTCTCTTTCCATCTCTATCGTTTCGTTTCCCACTCTTCTCTGTGTGTCTGTTTGCTGTGAAATGTTTTTCCTTCTGGTTTGGTCTTTCTTCCCTTTGTCTCACCTCACCGGTCACCCGCCATTTTCTTTTATCACTTTTCTCTCTCTCCGCAAGCGTTCCGTCAAACCGAAACGAAACAAACAAATAAAACAATATACTGAATTAGCGCCTATTCTATTTCCAACCTAATTTACTAGTTTTAATTCCCTTTAATCCATGTATGAATGTTGACAAAGAATTAGAAATAATTACTTTCTTAATTTTTATAAGATTAATTTATTTTACAAAATCAAAAGATTAGGGGTGTGGAGTGGGTTGGTCTGTATCATATCGCATGAGTCCAACTCCAAACTCGGTTTGGACCGGATCACAACAAATCGAATATAATGTGGTTTCGTCCTTGATCCCATGAAATACTGAAGAAAAATGGACAGGAGTGATATTTGGACCAAATAGGATCACATGCATTGTTGATCCGGTCATTGATTCTAAAATGTCTTTTACTATTGGACCAAGGTTCTCATTTGGTCCTTACTTGGATGATTGTCGTGACTCGTGAGTACTCCCATGGACAAGGACAAAATCATTCATCATCCTGCTCTGTCCACAAGAACGGAGGAGTTGATCTCGTGGAAGCCGCCTCCTCTTTAGCATATCATTCTCAACTAAAACGTCTCTGTACTTCATGTCATGATACTGGTCATGCTTCTGTAGGTGACTTGATTAGAGATCACGTTGGACGTTGCGTCGCGGCGTTTGCTTTAAACCTGAGTATTTACTCTATTACTCGGGCGGAGTCGAAAGGTGTTGTTGAACGACTTCAGCTTGCTTGGGACATGGGATTTCAGCATGTCTACATGGAGATGGATTCCCGTTGTGTGCGATTCAACGTAACTAGGACCCGACGGCCAAGGACTAGCAGCACACTGCGATCATTGCACGGCTGCAAATGATGCTGCGGAAAAATTGGAAAGTCACTATCTCCCATGTTTATAGTGAGGGTAATAAATGTGCATATTTTCTTGCTGCAAGAGGGTATTTGCTTGAGCTTAATTTTCTTTTTGTTTCCGTCTCTGATTCTGCTCTGATGTATTGGCTTTTGTATGATAATTAGAAAATTGCTGAATCTCAATTGGTTTTGAATGGCTATTATAGGATGTTTCTCATCCATTTATATATAAAAAATTAACTTAGGAGCGATTTTAAATAAATTATAAATTATCAAAGGGAAAATGTATTGAGCTTGAATAATTCCATCCGTCGCTGTTTCCGTCTTTCTTGTCGTGTGCCGATATTTTGGTTTTTTTTGTGTTCAGATTATATCGCGAGTTAGCCTTTTCTTTTATTTGTAGCACTATTGTTTAGTTTACAAATTACGACTGGGATAGGAGAGAGAGGGAAGGGTGTAATTAATTAATTAATGTATTATTAAGGACATGAACATTGTTATAACCCACGAAAATGCCAAAGGTAGCCGGAAGATTAAACAACGTTGGACAACCGACAGGCAATGTGCAGACAATTAATCGGACAATTAAGTCTAACTTCAACCACAAATTAAGTAGTGTAACAAAACAAATTAAGCAGTGTAATCTTATCTTGCGGATACTTTAGACCCTACCATGTTTTGTATCCTAATTAAATTCTCTTTGCTTCCTCATCTTCTAACTCTAATAGAGTAATGAAAGATAAAATAATCCGAATCGAGTTTGGAGATCTGCTCTTAACACAATATGCGTTTCTGCTCGACCACAAGATGTAGGTGGCTACATCTGGTGTCTGTTTTATATTTTTTTTTCGTTGGTATCAGTCAGGGCATCTAAGAGAATGTTCTGAGAGGCCATTTGGCACAGGGCCTTAATTGTTACGAGGCCTCCACTTAGGTCCGTGGGTTAATACGAAACTATATTATATGTTGTATGTTGTTCATTATTACTTGATTATGGGTATGATTTGGAAGGAGCGACATCCAATATTTTTTGACGAAGCAGAACATCCTAATAGCGAATTTAGATAAGCATTTGTTCTAATATCCATCACCTATTCATCTCCCTTTGGACAACGACAAGAATACTATAGATCTTCGTTGCCTACACACAATTGTAGTTGCTAGTTTATAGTATTTTGTAATCACCCAATTTTTTTTTGTGGGGTTTCAAAAATTTGAACGACTTTTCAATCTTAAACCGGTTCGATTAGGGTCCTGGTTCGATTTGAAATTACAATAAGCAATTAAGATATTTCCATTTCCCAATCTAATGAAAAGAAGAAAAGAGAGGTGTATAATAATAATAATAATAATAATAATAATAATTATTATTATTATTATTATTATTATTATTATGTGGGACACAAATGGAGGAGTTTCACATCATCTAAACAAAGCAAAGGAATCGGATTGGTTGGTGAAGAATTGGGACATGTATACCGACACCCAACCAATTCCATCTATTTTGTTGTCAGCAAGAGAGCGACTTCACACAAATTTTTTTAAGTAATTAACCAAAACAAAACGGAAACCCAATATTTGTTGGATGGGCAATTTATTGTATTTTATTGATTCATTCAACTATATTTGGTGGCTACATGGGCCAACCAAGTGTTGGGGGGATCATTGGATGGACCCAACCCTTCATATCATTTCAGGGTGGATATATTCCGGTCTGGTTCAGAATCGAATCAATTCCAAAATGAATTAAGCGAAAAATAGAAGATAGGTGAGCACTAACATCGACTAAACATGTATTATATGCGCTTCGATTGAGTTCAGGTGTTCATTATCTCATTCGGTTCAGCTTCTTCCTTAGTTTTTTTAAGAGAGATCATACGATCAAAATCAAATTATATGCCCCATCCCTAAATAGCAACATTGTATTTCTAGAGATGTTGGGAAACAATAGATTTACATCAGTGAACACTGTGGTGGTCGAGTGTTTGCCCGTATAGAATAGACGAACTTCAGAGGTAATGGTGCGTTCGAATCTAATTTTTATGTACATATTTGTACAAGTAACACCACTAATTTCTTTCACCTCAGCCCTATGCCTCCAGTCCTCTAATCTCCTTTTCCTAATCGACTTTCATTTCTAAATCCACAAATAATATTCATCAATGCAATTACGCGTAATAACTGATAAAATTGGGATTAAGGAGTGTGGTTTAATCTAAGGGTGTCGTCGTTAAAATCCGAAAGCCCAGAAAAACCGACCGGAAGAAAAGGGCCAGCAACGGCACACGGGCAGGCCCGGCCACCAAAACGGCGTTAGAGTTGGAAACCCCCCACGTGCCTCATGTTTTCCGAGTTGGTCCTGGCTCCCTTTCCCACGTGTTCACTTCATTGCCATAATTATTACATTTATTATTATAACTATTTTTTTTTTTAGGAAAACAATGCAGTGCGCAGATGAATAAAAATGAATTTAACGTACCCAACCTCCCGTCAAAAAAAAAAAAAAATTTAACATACCCAACCGGAATCATACCGGTCAAACCGATCCGTACATCGAAAGTCCGTCAATCAAGTAGTATCATGTACCATACCGACTTAATAAACGCTGTGTACTTCATTTTGATGATTAACGCGAAAATTAGTTTACGGAAGACGAATTTTTAAGTCTCACTGCAACGTTCGAAATTGTAAACGGATAAATGACCAATATTGAAATGAAAGGCAAATGTTGGGTGGGCTTGTACATTTTTCGAACTTAATAGAGAAGGCCAGCCGGACCTACAACGGACCCGCCCGGACAGGAACCCAGACCGGGTCGAAATTGGTTGGTTAATGGGAGCGGGGAGCCGGTTAAAGCCATTAGTCAACAGGCCCGACCCGGGCGGAGCATGTTTTCAGGGTTGGCTCCAATCCCCATGCCCCTTCCATCCCACATTTGGATCCTCCCTTTCTTTCCCCATCCCCAAGCAAATAATTAATTACACTTCCAAATTAACAATTAAAAATTCCTAAATACAAAGAAATTAATAAATCACTTCTCAAGCATTCATAAACATTGCTAGCTGTCGGAGATGGCTTTATCAGTTGCAGTTAATAGTCGGATGTTAAGAGTAATGGTGAAATGCGATTCTGAGGTTGTTGTTCGTTAGTTTTTTTTTTTTTTAAGGCCGTGACTCGTCGAGTGACACAAAAAGCTCTTTCGTCGTCTTGTTTCAAGTTACCTTCTTTCGATTTTATAAGTTGTGTTTAGTAGTTTGTCGCTTTGGTTCGATATTTGTTATCTTGAGCTAGTCGGTTCATAATAATAATAATAATAATTTTAAAAGCGATCCACAGTTTGGCACAGTCTGAATCTCACTGTGATTTGCAATCTCTGCTCATAATAATAAACAATAAAGGCACAGCATTCATTAAAAACCTTAAAGCAAGTTTCAGAATTCCAGTACATTACAGCTTTCTGCTTAAGAAAGTCAACAAGACAAGAACATGTTCCACAACCACAGCAAAGGACAGTCAACCTCTGGCTTCATAACTACATAACATTCACACATTCATTATAATAATAACAGCTCCTTCCTGAGATCCAAAGGATTCTTATTCTTCTTCTTCTGTTTCTGGTTCTTCATCATCTAGGCGAATATACTCAGTGGCCCTCTCTTGTTTGAAGCCTCCAACCCACTCTCAGCGCTCCGCGTCATCCATGTCCTGCACATAGCATAAGAACACACAGATTTAACTAACCCAGCCATGGAAAAACTGATACAACCGCGCGCGTCTGTCAGTCACTTAACAGTTCCTTGGAATACCTGGAAGCACTGTCATTCCCAGCAGGGTTTATCAGTATGGTCAATCTACTTGCAGTCCTCGAGAACACACTGCATTATCATCATCAGCACAGTTAAAGGTCGATCACAATTAACCGCAAACTGCAAACCATTTTCTATCAAACCAAAGGTTGGTCATAGGTCGAAAGGAGTTACCTGAATGGTTCATCACCGGTTCGTTTGACAGCACCAGTTGTATCGCGATAGAGAACGTGATTCAGTATCACGGCCCTTTCCATTCCCAGCATGTGTGCCAGCCTACTGTACAGCTCCTCGTATGAAGCGAAGGCCGTGAGGTCGATTGTCCGCCCTGCATCTTCAGATTCTATGAACACCTTGCAATTATGTCCACCGCCGTCGGAAATAGCACTAGAGGACTTCTCCAATGACGAGATTTGCATCTCGTCGCACGAACTCCTCGAGATGGATTCACTAGAATGGTTGTGGGAGATTTGCTGTTCAGTGAGTATCGCCTGACCAAAGAGGAAGAACGGCTTCTTCTCTTGTGAAGCAGATGGTTTCTCGAGGCTTGAAGAAGAACTGGAGTTGCCATGGCCAATAGTTAGCAAGCAAGATACCGTCTCATTGCTGCTCTCGGAGATTCTAGAAAAATGTAGAGGTGGCGGTGGTGGTGGTGGTGGATTGTAGTGTTGGAGATTGGGTAGGAATAGTCCCCCGGATGATGGATGCGGGAGTTTGTTGTGATTAAGGTGGTGGAGATCGGATAAAGATACCCCGATATGAGCATGCCTGGCTCCCTGTATGCCTGCAGGTGCACTGTTATCCGCTAGATAACACAATGGGCTGCTGCTGGACGAGAGGGGGTTGTTGTTGCCTGAAAACGACGGCAATTGAAACTGGCCGTCTAGTGGGAAGTCAAATGGTCCTCCCGGGAACCGAAACTTCTTTCTTGGTGGTGAGGAGAAAGCTGATGGCTGGATCATCGGTATGTTTGTAACCGGTTCAACCAACCACGGGCTGACTCGTTTCACATTTTGCAGCAGCTCTGGCTCGTCCCACGTCACCTGCACATGAACAAAGACCAAAACCGAACCCCCCCAACTGTCATTCACATTGGATCAATCACAACTCTAATGGAGAGATGTTCATGTAGAAAGATGTCGAAAGTAATGAACCAGTAATGTTAAGTTTTACAGCATATAAGTATGCTGGCAGGAAAGTGAGAATCAATGTTGAGACTTGACTTGAGAGAATGATCTAAGAAAAAAGTAGCATCCTTTATCATATTCGTTGGACTAACTTCACATAGATGATTCCATGATTTACTAAAACTATAGCAAAGCAAGAATCAAAGTTCTGAACTTTAAGGAAAAACAATAGCAAAGCAAGTATTCGAACACGAACCTGAAGAAGGCGCCATGGCGAATTCGGCCAGCGAATGGGATCAGCAACCTGAACAGAAGCTACAGTAGCCATGAACCAGCTGATCCTGGAGGAATCTTCAGTCTCAAATGGCATCTTGAACCTCATCCCAGGGCACCAATTGATTCTCATCGCAGCTCTAGCCGAAGCAGCCTTGACACAGAACTCCGGAGTACTAGCTCGCGGGTAATAGTACACATCAAACGGCCGCCCACTCGCAGCCAATCTCGCCGCCTCCAAAACCTCCTCCGGTTTCACCTTCGTCGCCGCCCCCGACGCCGCGGTCGATCCCTTCCCACCATTTCTCATGGACTTGTTTTCATCTTCCTTAAGAAACAGCGAGAAGCTGCTGTACGGGTTCGCCATCCCAGTTGTTGCCCCGTTGGTGTTTGCGTTAATGCCCCAACCAGATTGGGGAAAGGAAGACGAGGACCAACCTGGCCCGCTGCCGCCAAACCCTCGCTTGGCGCGGCGAATACCGACGCAGAGATCTCCATTCTCAGCTCTGAGAAACACGATTGAATCCCCGGCGACTAATTTCTTCTGGTTCACAAACGTGCTCCACCCTGTAGTCAGCAGATGCCTCCTGGGAGTTCCCCTGTAGATGTGCCTGAACTTCCACACCTCGCCATGGACGTCTTTAGCTATCACCGTCTGGACGGGAGGATCCGCCGTGTAATCCAGCCTGGGGAAGATTGTCTCGGCGCAGTAACGCGGCACGGAGAATCCACCGCCGTTGTTGGCGTCCGATTGGGTGAGAGTCTTGGCGAAGGAAGCCGGTTTCTCTTGGATTCCGCTGCTGCCATTGCCGCTGCCGAGACCAATTTCGTCGTCGAATTCGAGCTCTGCTTCGTCTTGGGGGAGGGGAGCCAGGCTCATCTTGGTGTACACCTCGTCGGTTTCCGGGTCGGCGAGGAACCTCACGGCGGCGACGCGGCAGAGGATGGAGGCCGGGATTTTGGTGGCGGCGGCGGAGAAGGGGAAATCGACGGGGGATTGGCAGTGCTCGGCATGGCCTTGTGGGAAATAGAAGACTCTAGTGTTGATAGGTGGGATTTGAACCATGCTTCCAGCACAAGCGTGCCATAGCTGTGGATCCAAGCTCTTCTCCAACAACTCTTTCATTTGCTCCCCAAAAACACAATAGTTAAAATCTCCTCTCCAGTTACCCGCCGATTCCTCTGCTCTGCGAATTGGGGGGGAATGAAACAAAAATCAGAAACCCAGAAACAAATGGAAAGAACCCAGATTGGGGAAACCGAAAATCACAGCAATTACCAGAAGTTGGAAGAGTTGCAGAAGAAGAGAGGGAAGGCCTAGACTAGAAAAGATTGCTCCTTTGGGGCTAAAGGAACAAAATCCCAAACATTTCTACAAAAAACCCACAACCCAAAAGCGCTAAAGAAGAAGTTTGGTTGCAAAATTTCTGCACATTAACCCAAAATGGGGTTGAATCAGACAAGGAGCGAAACTGAACAGAAAAGGATAGGGGAAGAAGAAAGAGTACAGTTGTGCTACAGAGAGGAGGAGCTCCAAAAGGTGGAGAAATAAGTGGTGATGGAGAAATGGAGAGTGGGGGATTCCGATTTCATGCAGTAGTCATAGTAAAGACAGCACTAGAGACAACTCTTGTTTAATCGGGGGAGCGATCGGACAGTGGCAGAAGAAAGGGAAAACAGGGGAAAGGAAAAAAATAGAAGGAAGAAGAAGCACTGCTGCAACTCTCCACTGACTGAACGCTTTACAATTTTACCAGGCAGGCAGCATCAATACCTCCACACTCCTCTCTCTCTCTCTCTCTCTCTCTCTTCTCAGTTCTCAACAGTCAGCCACTGTAAAGATGCTCCAAAAAGCCATTTGATTCACAAACCCTTCTTCTTTCTTCTTCTTCCACTGCTGAATTCGCGATTCCACAGTGTCTCTCTCTGTGAATCTCTATATCTCCGCCACTTTTCTCTGTGTGTCTGTTTGCAGAGAGGGAGAGATGTTTTTCTTCTGGTTTTTGCTCTCTTTCTTCTTCTTCTTTCTCCCCTCTGCTCTGGCTTCACCGGTCCACCCCTTTTTATCTCTTCCTTCTTCTCTCTCTCTCTCTCCAAACAGGAAGAACAAACAAACAAACAAACAAAACAATATACTAAATAAGCGCTATTCTATTTCTAACCTAATCCTTAAATATAATATAATGAATAAATAAATAATAAGGAATTTATGTATGAGACTGACTTATTTACTGTGGTAAGGTAACAACAGGCGGGTAATTTTTTTTTGTTCTCGTCTTTGTTGTCGTGTGGCGATATTTTGGTTGGATCGTCAACGTTGTATCGCGAGATTGGGGCGGACAGTGAAAAAAAGAGGGCAATCAAATCGGAGGGAGAAGTTTGGGAATCGCAGTAACCGTGTGGACTCCGGCAAAGCGATACGGGTATACGATACCGTATTAATACGTTATACGGTGTTTTTTATGTATTTCATCTGAGTGCTATTATTAATTTAAAAGTATGTCTAAAATTTTGATGCAAGTAATAAAATTTTGTAATTTTATTATTCAAAATGATATAAAATATATTTAATTACTAAATTGTTAAACTATAATTTGTTAAAATACATATGTTATGTGTACATGCGTGCTTAATACGTCATGCATCAAACAAACAAACAAAAAATAGACAGTTCTATAATAGTATGAACGGATGAGAATTTTAGATGTGTTTAGACACATAATTAAGTTCTCTCCCTGGTTTGATGGGATGCATCAGTCTCTTCCTTTCGTTTTACATGCTGAAACATATATATATACCAAGTTGATTAAGACGACAGATTAACCTAAAATTATTTGATATGGACTAAACATAATATGCACTAATAGATGTTGTGTTGGAGACTATCTACTCAATAGTCAATGCACTATCTGCATACAGTGTCTATGTGCATGATTTCTCGCTACCATCAAATCATTAGAGAAGATTTAGTAAACTTTAGCCTAAAGAACCTACTATGAATTACGAGAGAATCGAAGGTTGCTAACAAGTTGTCATCGAGGACTACAAGAAGCCTTGCACTAAAGGGAAACGAAAAGGGACGAGGAGGACACCATGACATCAACTTAACATGCTTGTTTGAGCCACGAACCACAATACCTCAATTAACCCTTATGAATCATGAAAGAAACTCGTTTTTTTCTTCTTCATTAAACGCACATGAATATTAGTATGAAGAGTTAACTATATTGATGAATATGAAAAATTATCAAGTCTTCCTAAAGTTGGGATTAATCCAACACTTACCATATAAGAATGTTTATATTTCGAATTCCATATCTCAATTGAACAACAAATTAAACGATAGATATGATAGGAGATGTAAAGTGAATATTTTAGAATAAAATTTCATTTCATGGGACAGAAATCAGAAATGAAAAGAGTTTCACATCATCTCAAACAAGGCAAAGGTATGTGGTTTGGTTGGTGAAGAATGGACATGTATACCGACACCCAACCAATTCCATCGATTATGTTGTCAGGAAGATGAGAGCGACTTCATATATTTGATAAATAAATAAAAATTTTCAACTAAAACAAATTAAACGGAAAAAACCGATATTTGTTGGATGAGAAATTTATTTATTTATTTGGATTCATGGGGTGACGGTTCAACAATCTTTGGTGGCGATATATTGGACTCACCCAATAAATCTACAAAGAACCCATTATTTTATATTTTTATGCACCCTTGTTTCTTGTTTCATGTAAGTGGTGGTAGATGATATATTTGGTATAAATGAATTTTATAAGTTTTGAGAAATTAATTTGAAATATTTTTGTGTTTGGTATTTAAAAGAATTCATTTTTAATTATAAATTTTGAATTCTATGGAATTGGAACTAGTTATAGCAATTTCGAGGAATTAAAATGGAATTTCCAAATGAATTCCAGAAGTATTTACTAATTATAATAGAATGACATAATTATCCTCTTTTATTAAATAAATTACTTATACATATGACATACCAAACACAAGAATTCATTTCACAATGAATTCTATACTGCAATTTATTTTATTTATAAAGATTTGAATATGACATACCAAACACAAGATTTCATTTGACAATGAATTCTATACGGTAATTCATTTTACAATAAAATGAACTCTCGATTCATTTGGTACCAAACGGTCTGTTAGTGACACTTTCGATAATAATTTTGCAGGATTCTCATTTTAAAGTATATCGAGTCGGATCTAAAAGTGTCCACAACTTGCAATAAGATCCAACGAGAAATGCATCAATTAATTTGTCTCCAAAACCAACTTGTTTCAACAATTCGAGTCGTTGGAAGAAGTTCATGAATGAATCTCCCTTACAAATACAACTTCCATTTCTCTAATTCAAATTTTATTGTCGTCAATGACACATTGGGTAGAAACACCTCCTATACTTACGAGAGGCTACTATAGTTAATCGATTTGTGTGCCTAGCTCGAATCAACGATCACCGCGATGAAATGCATCCATGATTAATCAAATTACCTTAAATTTCAGAGAAGTATCCTCGACCCAAATGAAGACCAGGATTCATGCTCGTATGGAGTCAAGAACTTTGTAGCACTGAATTGAAATTTTTTGGTAAAAAGACAAATCGTTTGTTTCATCTAATGTCCTTCACCATATTTTACCAAATCAAACCACGAAATACATGATTGCCGACGGTGTAAACTAAGAACCCATTTAGTCCACATCCAATTTGTACTTCTCCAACTGACGGTGGATCCATGTAGGACATGCATGCACATACCAACGTACATATAAAATGTAGGGTATAACAATGTACGTCCGTCGACATTTTCTGCCGTCTCTTGCGGTCGCCGGCGATCAGAAGCCGGCCAAGGACAGCATAACCAATCCAAAGCCACACATCATCAAAATCCTTAACCACAACGTAACGTGGTTTTGTTTTTGTGGCCTGAGGTTTTGTTGGGCTTGCTGGAGATTAGTGGGCCTAATTAACCCTTTTCCCTACTTCGTCTTTTCATCTCCCAAAAGGTTAAAACTTTTTTTGACCCACTTCCATATGATACCATTGAATAAGGCCGGAATGCCGACCTGTTAAATCGATCAGTTAATTACCTTCCGGCCTTCCTCTTTTGTAGCAGTTTGCAGAAGAAATTAGCGTTCACCAAGTCAAGAGGGAATTCGAATTGATGTTAACGCACCACTTGGTTTTGCTTGTATGAAAGCGCTAATGAGAAGCCAAAATGACATTAATTACTCGTCGTTAATCCAACTATAAAACTGTTACAGAGGCTAATAAGGTTGTAGTGACAAGGTGGGTCGCGAGGAGTACTCCGTTCTTCGACCTGATTTCATTTCGAGTGGCTTTGAAAGTAGCTTGGTGTCGATATCATACCAATTCAATAATACACATTCTATGACGGAAGAGACAACTAGTGGACTTGGTACTTACGACGGAGGACCTATCGATATATACGTTTTGTGCTAAAATTAGCTACGATCATTCGAACAAAGGATGTCTCGGTTGAGGATTCCAAGACCATGCCCGAGTACAGTTCGTCTCAACGATTTGTAGGATTGAAAGATGTTTGATTATGAATCTGGTGTGATTTTCATATCGATGAGACGTTGTACTTACATGAAAAGCAAGCGCAAATATATAGCAAATATCATAAAAGAGGGAATTGAAGATGAGGATCGTAATTCAACAATATGCTAATTTAAAAAAAAAAATGGTATGATAAGGATAAGATTGGTATTTCTTAAATGAACTTCATTTTTTTAAAAGATTAATCAACAATCATACAACAAATTCTCGATCTTTTTTTATATATACTCTAAGAATCGCGAGTTATTGATAGCGTTTGAGAAAGCTAGTTAATCAATCATGACTAAGAGGGTAAAAATTGAAAAGGGATCTAGAAAACCCTAGTTACCACTCAATTTGGAGATGGTTGCAAGAAACAATGGGAGGTGGATAACAAATTTACCACAAATGGTGGTGTTATATGTACTTATGTTCCATTGTTGTTCCATTATTTTTTCTTGTGATAACACTTAATAGGGCCATCTATATATCTATTTCTAATGTGGTCCTTAAACCGGGCCACATATCTAGTGATAATTTGTGGAGGGCACAAACACAACACGTTCTTTGGGTCCTAATAATTACACACAATGCTGCTTTCTCTCTACAACACCCCGCTTGCTTTAATTTCTTCTTTGGCAATAGGCAGAACGAACATCTAAGGCCTAACCCAATGAGATTAGCCCCTAATTTTGGCAAAACATGAAGAGCAATATGGTTAGCCTAATGGGACATCCCCCACCAAACCTAACCTTGATTAGTGAAAGACAACTCCTAATGCCCTTTCCCTCCCCTCCCTCCCACATCCCTTTTCTAGGCTCTTAGAATTGGTTCTTAATGATGACATCTTCTCAAATATCTTGGGTTTTGTTAGTTGCTAATGATCCTACATGAGTGTGAAAAAAAAGATATGATTCAGGTTGTAAAGCGCACACAGGGCTGGTATTCATGTGATTCGGATTGTCTTGCAGTATCTAAACCGATATACTGTCATATGTCCATGCATGCGAGGCACTGGCACTAATTAAGAATTAAAACAGCTAGTAAACAGACATACTGAATGCTCAACTATACTGGCAAAACTTAATTCAGATTCAGAACTGATCGAAAATAAGAAATTGGAGCAGCTTCTTTACGTGTGATGGAACCTAGGTTTTGAATGAGGGGAAACAGGCTATATAACTAATAGCCTTCATCTCGCCCATTAATTTTCTAATCTCATCATATATGCAATACACACAAACCATAACTTTACAAAAACAAATATTGTCTACGTACGTTCCTCATAAACTACTCGTAGTTGTATCACGATTCAAATACCTAAAAGCGTCGACCTCCCTTCTGCAACAAAAATATCTTCCATGAGACAAGGAATCACCAAAACCTCACACTACCTAACCAGATTCTTCACCAAGTCGTGAATTTCTAACCAAAAATCCAATATAAAACGTTGAATCCCGACTAAATTCATTAAAACTAGCATTGACTTAAACGATGTTCTTCGTACCACCACACAGACACAAACTGTCAACACGACTTATGACAATTGACAGCAACATTTTCTTTCTCAAAGAGTGTCTCCATCTCTCTCTCTCTGTGCTTCTGATTGCTTGAGGTGGGTGGCGTTCTGTGGGCCCCGTGAACCGTCGACGTGGCATGGACGTGGCCAGGCAGCTAAAGACAACAGGGGGAGGGGAGGTGGGCTCTGGGGCCTTGGGCGGGTCTGCGGGGTTATAGCTGGGATGGGCCCCCATGTGTCTCCATTAACGTGATGGGCCTGTCGTTGCTGTTGTCTTTTAACAACTGGACCTCTGTCTTTGACATGTTCTTTGGATCTCAGTATTTTTGTTTCTTTGTGTTTTTTTTGTTTTTGTCTCTCTGTGACTCTCGGGTTGTTGAATTGATTGATGGGACGGCGGAAGACGTGGACGTAACGCTACGGCCAGGGACCGTGTTTCCTTATCTCTTCTTCCGTTATTATTCAACTCTTCCTTTATGGCCTCGTACAGTAAATATTAAATTTTTTTTTTTTAAATATGTTCCATCCACTTGCTCGGCTGTCGGCAGGGGAGTTGGTTTCTTTGTCGCCCACCTTAGGCCGGGCTTTTGGAAAGGCTCGTTCTAGCTGGGCCAGAGTTGGGTTCTGGGCCGATCCTACTGATTGGGCCTTGGGCCTCCAATGCTGGAGTGCTGCCTTGGGCCTTCTTTTGCTTTCCACTCTTTCAGCAGGTTGTGAAACGGGTGGTTGATTCAGGTGTCTTTGCAACTTAACTGAGAGGTTGTTTGGATGAATGTATTTGACAATGGAAGCAGTTGGACACATTTGATTATTAGTTTGGCGATAGCAGAAGGTTGTGCGAGAATACGGTTTTGCGATTCCACATTCCGCCATCCAGGAGATCGTTAGAATGATGCACATTTTACGATCGATTTCACATGAAAAAACGTTGTGGGAGTATGATGTTACTCCCACACTTGAAAACAGCCCAAAGAAAGTGTAAGAACTAAGAGCCAAGTAATAGCTAGAAAAGGGTTCAGCATTCATTAGAGAAGGGGGAAAAAGAAAGGAAGAACAAGCTAACACCTACTTGACTTTTCGGCAACATCTACAGAATCACACAAAGCATATTTAATAAACTAATGCCTCTTCTCTGCCTTCAAGGTCCTTCTTCTTCAGAGACTCCTCTCTTTCTTTCTTCCGCTTGCAAAGCTAAACTTCTTCTATCCCTGCCTTCATTTCATCATCTACCTGACCTCCCTACCGCTTCTTATTCTCAAGGTAATAATGTACATCAAAGAACAAATTGAACCCCATAAACAGTATCAGCATCATCATCATCAGAGAGAGATTACAAGACTTACGCTGCTAATCGTTTCGTCGTCATCGTCCTAACCCACGCTAGCTACTCCTAAACAAATATAATAATCAAACGAATACCAGTCAAAATCAGCATTTGTTTCCGCGATTCTCAGGCAGTCGAAGTGGTGGTAGCGGATCCTGCTCCCTCCTCCTCGCCGCTGCCATCGCCAGTGCAGGTCTTCTTCCTTAGCTCCAACACCTTCCTGTGTGAGTTTGAGTGCACCGCGGGGATGAAGGTCGGACTAGCAGCTGGGCGGTACTCTGGGAACAGACGGCCAGACCTGTGACGAACCCCACAAGCGTTGCAGAGCGTTTTGGGTCCCAATGGGCCTTCTCTCCACTGTGGAGTCTCCGACACCCCACAATGGGAGCACCTCCTAGTTTCACTACTTGTGCCCTGCTGCTGCTTTCTCTTCTTCTGAACACCTTTCACGAGGCCTGATGATATCTTCTCATCCACATGGGGCACGGATTCAGGCTCGAGCTGTGCCAGCGGATGAAGCCTTTTTCTGCCCGAGGAGAATAAACGGTGGAAGAACTCGTAAGTGCGACGCTGGGAGCGCAGGCCTTTGCTCCGAGGACGTTTGGCTGTGACGGCGATTGTTGAGTGATAAGTTGATGGGTTCTCGGCCGAGCATGAGGAGCTGCTGCTCTCGAGGACAGAAATTGGGCTTGAGGTCCTGAAATTTTGTTGAGGATATTTGGCATCTGAAGAGGAATCACACTGGATGCTGATGCTTCGGCTGGATGATGACTTGTTACTGCTTATTGTTGAACATTGCTTGAACTCCGATGATTGGTTCTGCTGAAACACCAATAAGCAGCAAATTCAGGATAAAAGAGCACCCCAATGCAGTTTTCGAATTTGGAATTCAAAGGCAAAAAGCATCAGAAACAGAGATACCAATCACGTACATGAATAACACAGATTGACACAAGAAAAATCTACTAGTAAGTGACCAGTGAGCTATACACCTGCGCTACTAGCATAAAATGGTGAAATGGAACTAAAACTCACAACAAGTCAACAAGAATTCCTAACAATTTTAGGATATCAGTACATGAAGGAAAAGGGATGTAGAATCTGAAAATATTAATTGACATCAACGACACAGTCCTCATGACAACCCAGAGTGCGGACATTCTCCAAGTCCTCTTAAACCAATCAACCACCGTGAGTTACTAGTTCCTACAGAATAGATTAGTGACTACTGATAAGTTGCTGTACATGATTATCATGGAAGCTTCTGAGTTCCAGTATTCTTGCTAGTATCTCGCCCCATATGAACATTGTACGTTTCAAGGTCAGACTAAGCCTTGTCAAGTATAAACACTCTCACTTAGTTGCATAAATGACTTCACTAAGGCATGGTTGAGCTATTGACAGATCGATTAGAGTCCAACACTCCATGAGGATGCGGATCAAATATAAACTATCTTAATAGTAACGGACATAAGGCTCAACCTCTTATCTCAATATGCACCTAAATGATTCTTTCAGCACTGCAACAAGTTGAATGATTCCTACTACCATGAGTCAATAATACTAGCTTCGGAGCAGCATATGTAGATCCTCTCAGGGTTACCCTTTTATTAAATACTGTGTTATCAGTGTCCTGGGATAACAAGAAAAATAAATAATTTCTCACATGAGTGACATTCACACTGTACACTGACGTTATAAGCCATAAACTGCATCTCCAATTCTAGTTATCATCTAGATTAGTAAGACAATACCGCAGCCACAAAACAGGTATTGAAAAGAGAACAGCTATCTTGTCTAAAAGACCTCACCATGAAGCATATGCCACTGGAAACTAGCAATGCAAGCATGCAACGAGCCACAGCAGTGGGTGCATGCACTTAACAATTTGAGAGAAATGAAGCAAGTGGGAAACATAATAAGTAACTCCACATAACGTGAAAGCTATCAACCCTTCAAATTTTTCCAATGCTGCATTGTATGCGGAATAACAATGAAGACCCACCAAACTAAACCGACCAGGGCTAATGGAGAACCACACAATTCCAAGTGTAGGTTCCAAAAACTTACCAGAATGGAGGAAGTTCCCTCTACTTTGCCAGCGCCATTGCCACTTGCACAGCAGATATCAGACGGAAAGTTTGGCAAAAAGATTGAAGGAGGCTCAAGTTCTTGAAATTTAGTCTGCCAATCCTCTTCCACAGCGGCAGGATCAACATCCTCTAGAGGGAAATCAAAGTACAGCAACGTTTCATCGAAGAAATCGTCCGTTACTCCACTGAAATTTTTGTCGAAAAACCAGGAGTCGTTCATATTAAAAACCTGCAACAATGGGACAAGCACAAACACAGAAAAACAAACCCGTCAATCACAATCGAAAACCCACCAATGCCATTCACGAAGGCAGCCAATTGAGCAAAGCGGGCATATAACCGCCGGAAAATCACATAGACACACAGAGAGAAAGAACAGTAAGATAAGACAAACCCTTAAGTATTCGATTATCCTCTATCATCCGCACTCTCAAAACTCCATGTATCCAAACTTATCCAAGAAGACAAATTTGCAGCCAAATTCTCAACAGCACACGTTTTTAAATTATATATATGAGAATCAGGGGGCAAAAAAAAACTGACCATGAAAAGAAAGTCCTTTTAAGATTCTAAGACGATACGTTTTACCCTTAATTACCCAGCACATTCCAATATCCCCAACACATAAATAGCAAATCCATTTTGGCTCAAAATGTGCCACACGGGATTAGTGGGCTCATATATTTTCTTTTCAGGATCATTCTCACCCCTTCCTCTTCTAATCTTCTTCCTGATCCGCCTGTCGTATTCCTATTGGCTACAGTTATGTGGCACACCCACTAATTACTCGCCACATCACTGATTAACCCTAATCGAAAACCCTATTTTTTATACCCTTAAAGAGATATATACACTACTAATCACCCACACAATGAGAGTTTCTCTCCCAATTCACGACTCACACCCAGTAAAAAAGAACGCAAACATACCGGACGAAGGATGGGGAAAATAGTAGGTGCGAGGGAATTGAGAAAACGAAGGCAGGAAGGCGTCCTTTTCAAACGGGGATACCCTATCGTTTTCTTCGCGTCTGTGACATTTAATCAAACACCTAGAAGACAGCATCGCTAAGTAAATTTTACTTCCTTCCTTCTACCCCCTTCCCTTCCTTTTCCCCCTCTTTCAACGCGTTCTCGTTACTAAGTGAACCCCTATAAAAAAACTGCAGCAGAAAACCCGAAACTCTCTCTCTCTCGAAAACGTTCTTCGCCAAAAAAAAAAAAAAATTAATATAAAAAAATTCCCACCCCGCTTCCTGCATTTTTCTCGCAGAACAGACACACCACACAAAGGGAAGCGGAACTCCCAACTCCTCCATGCAACCGAACGGATAACAAGCATAACAAAGCCAAAATGAAATTAACCAACACAACTGAGCGCGCTCGAGAGCAAGAGGTGAAGAAGATGGAAGAACCTGGCTCGGGTGGCTAAACGGGAGAGGAGAATGGGGAAACCCTAGCTAGGAGTCTAGAGAAGGAAGGAAGCGAGGAGTGTCGGCATTTTTTTCTGGCGGCGGGAAGGGAACGAGGGGCGAGCGAAGGGTGGGAGCTCAGCGACGGCGGCGGCGGGAGGAGGAGGAGCGAGAGAGGAGGGAGAAAGCGGGTGGGGGAAGAAGAAGAAGAAGAAGGGGATGAGATGAGGTGAGGTGGCGGTGGGGAGTGATGAAGAAATGTGAGTGAGAGAGAGAGAGAGAGAGAGAGAGAGAGAGAGAGAGAGAGATTCCACAATCCACACTTCCGCCTCCCCTTTGAATCTCGATGTCTGAGATTAGGATTTTTTTTAGGTTTTCTATACGGAGGGGCGCGTTATGCTAGGGGCGGGCTCAGGGAAATCCCGTGCGTCCTACCGCGCTTATTAGTTATTATCTTCAGTTTTTTTTTTCTTGATTTTATTCCCCTGCTGTAATTTTAATTTAAACAGATACTGTGGTAGAATTTGTTATTATGTTGCCATAATGCAATATTTTTTTCTAATTATTATGTTGCCATTTTAATTGGGGGCGTTTATGAAAAAAATATTTGCGAGGTTTATGATGTTACCAAAATGACGTAAAAAGAAAAATGATTAATTTGTTTCACGAAATGTCGATATATTCCTACTAAAATTTAGAATTTATACGATTACCACGCTACTACAGTATTGTATACGTACGAAATGAAATGTTTTTCGGCCTTTTTTTTCATTTTGTTTTCTAGAACGTATTTACTACACAGTGAGTAATTGTACTTGTGCAAATGATATTTTCATGTCAAGATTCATTGATGATCGATTTGTAATTTTTCTTGCAAAATTTCTAAAACCATAATAGAGATTCGTCACGGGACAATGAAATGTGCGAATTATACATCCACGTGTAATGTCAGCAAAAAATCACGTCACAAACTACCTCTCGAACTGGGGATACTCGATCCTTGGCGGGCTGATGAATGCATATCGACGACCACGAGGAGGCGAGTGCACAAGAACAAGAGTGGAACGTGGTGCACTGGAGCATAGTGAATGGACAAAACAGCAATAGGAACTAGGAAGTGGAAAATTGGGGTAAGATAGATATTTCGTGATTAAAATTATTATTGCTCATATGATTTTGAGAGAGCACCGACGGTTGAGGGGGGGCAAGCCATCATTTTTCTATCTTCCTTGTAGCCACCAAACAACAATACAACAAAAAAAATTAAATGATGGTACGAAAATTGCTCTAAAAGAAGAATTCAGAGGAGAGAAAAAAGGGTTTTCAAACCCTATCCCTTAACATTCTACTTTCAATGTGGTTGCATATTAAACCGACTCTGAGACAACACTTAGTTTTGATTCGTTAAGGTGATCGAGAATTCGAGATCATATACCTCCACAATCATATCATTGTTCTGACTACTTGTCGGACAATTTTGTCAAAACTGAATGTGTCCATCGTTCACTTGTATTTTTCACGAGTATTACATTTTTGAAGATTCGGCTGTACCGTTTATGCCTCGTGTTAGCATACTCGAGGAATATGAAAATTGGGAGACATGAGAAAGAAGAGGTGATGTGATGCAGTGTGTGTTTGGTGGGGGAAATTATTATTGTTTTCGTAGAAGCAAGCTAATTATTATTATCATCATCATTATTATTGTTATGACCAAAGGAAAAAGAGAAACAATAATAATATGGGAAAGAAATTCAAAGGGAGGCCAAAATGCATGTGAGAATCACATGCGAACGTGAAGGCAATAGACCGACGAGATCCCATCCCATGCGATGACTGATTGATATTGGTTTCCTTCCTTCTTAGGGTTTTCCGTCGGTAACGACGAGATTTCCTTCCGTTCAGATTGATCCCTAATTTCCAATTCAACGGGAAAAGAAAAAAACTCAACCCTCATTGTTCTCGGCTATCTACTTATCTTCTTTGGTCTCCGTAAAATTATGGATTCTTGTAGGGTGGCTATATGGTCCGGTCCGATTTAATTGGGCCGAATTGATTCGAATATAATGATTAAAGATTGGATTAGATACAATATGGTCTTGGCCGGTCCGTTCGCAATTCGGTCTTGATTTTAGATTGACCTTGTGGGGATTTGAGTGACCTGAAATCTAAAAGGGTGAGGAGTTGGTTAAATTTTGGGTGTTGGGCTCTCTTATCCGGTTTTCTGTTGATATGACTTGAATCGGACTATCAGCCGCTACGACTGGTAATGGGCTCAATGTTATTTGGGTTCGGGTTCTGGGCCTGGTATGTAATTCCTTTGTCAGATTGGATTAGGTTTAGACCCACATGGAGAAGTGCTATAAATACTTCTCATACTCCTCTGTAATCTGTAATCTCCTTTGATATAGTGAAATCGGCTCTCTCTCGCCCGTGGACGTAGCTAACACACATCGTGTTAGTGAACCACGTAAATCGTGTGTCGTGTTTTCGATTCTCGCTTTCGTATTCTTGCTTTGTCGATCCCGGCGATTTCCCGATCCGTAGCAGCGCGTTTATAACATTTTCGATCCGGTCTCGAACGATTTTTTTACCTCAAATCTAAGGCCGAATATGAGATTGGATTGTTTGCTATCCGGTCTCGGTTCAGTCTTGATCCGGGTTATACGATCCGGTTTCGAGTAAAACCAAAAAGCACAAACCAAATAGCCAGCCCTAGATTCTCGGGTTGGTTTATAATTTATCCATAGAAAAGAAATCTACGCTCAGAGAGTTTGAACCGGGATTGGATGGCTAAATCCTAAACCCATACAAACTAATATATTTCACAAATTTATTACAAAATTTATATGCAATTTACTAATTTTACATTATTTCGAGAGTCGAAAGAGGTTATAGCCTCCACTGCTATCAAAGTGGCTCCGTCACTACCCATATGTTACGATTTTAAACGAGTTTGGACTCTCTGACAAGTGATTTTTCCCCCTTCGATTCAGGTCATTATTACTCTTATGCATTACCGGTCAAATACTTAAATATATTAATCTTATTTTAATATATTGTTCTAATAAATAATAACGAATTATGTTATCGATTGAATCACAATTACAGAGTCGAATGCCATTTCGTCGTTGACTTATCCGTTACAAATTGGCGCTACGCTTTCAGAAACCATGCTAATAAGTCGTTGTTAGGAGGCCTTAATCTAATCAAATCAAACTTCCCTCGATTTTGGCAGCCTTTAAATTTCAAACTTCCATATTTTAAAAATTTTCGGGCACATAAAAATCTAAAGGGTGGGGGTTGGATCGATTAATTGTTACGTTACCATTACTGTCCCACCACCGCTGCTCGAAAGATATCTTTTTCCCCGCCACCAATTTGCAATAATTAATTCACTCACATATACAAAAACTTGTACAATGTACGATGTACCCGACATCACATATTTTCCTTTCTCATCATCAAATTTTCTATTTTTCTTTTTTTTGGTCCATCTTAAAGCCTTCGTGTTCAAATTGAAGTCGGTGGGGAGCTCTACACGAAAGGAAATGATCAAAGCTCTCTTCCCCACAAAATTATAAATGTCAACAAAACCAGAGGCTGATGATCCCACCCACAGTAAAGTTTTAAATATCCAAGTCGAGTTTGCCGATACCACGAAAATGCATGTATTGTTAGAATGCAATGTTCCTTAATCGCAAGAATGGTGGTACTGTAGAAAATACATGAATTACTGAAATGCGCGAAATTTTGTACCCAACTCAAACGAGAAAAAGCATGGTATTGTTAGAAACCATGCATTCCTGAAATCAATGGGAAGAATACAAGTCATCCCAATCATGATTTTTACAGATCACTTGCTGATAGGAAATCAACATTCAGCACGTGAGCTGTGAAATGATCCTATCTGCAACAGTTAAATCACGTCAAACTTTACCCCAATACTGTTGTTCCAAAGGGTGAAAAGGGGAGTTAAAAAGGTTAAATCCTAATTTAGGTATGGAAGCTGTGTATTCCTCTCTACCACCCTCCTTTGATCTTACGTAATGTTTTTTTTTACCTGTTCAGTTATATTTTGACTTTGGATATTTTCCTTCTGGCGTTTACACATACAAGCATGACCAGAAGGAACAAGGCCACAAACATGCCCAACGACAGTAATCTGAACGACAGTATTCCTTCCTCTGATGAATAGCTGCTGAAAATGCTTCCCAGGCCTTCCTGCAATCGGTACAGAAACGGCAAGCAAAGATTAGTTTAACGAGCACAGCCGAGAAAGGACTCAAACAGGCAAAGATCTGATTCCTAGCAAACCAATCAACTAACATGTTGGAAAGATGAAACAAATCTGATGTGTGTGTGAGACATATTATTATAAGTTCCCTGTCTGGTGACATGTGAGTGCCAGCAAAAGAACACACATGAAGCACATTCAGCAAATGTTCTTTTTTTCTCTTTTGGTTTTGTTTGTTTGACAGCAATGATAGATACTTACAGTGGCGTCATATGGTTGCAACAGGCTCTTTTGGTGTTGGTTAGTGAAGATGCTGCGAGCATATTCATAAAGATCCACATCTAGGTGGTTAAGAGATCTGATCTCCTCGAGCACCACCTCAGGAACCTTCAGTCGGTCCTGCATTACAGAGTGTTGGAAGTTAGTTAATTAAACAAACATCCGAGGATTCATGGATCTAATTGGTCGCAATAATGTGAACCAGGGGGAGGGGGGTCAAGGGGCAAAAAATAGCTGAGAGAAAGTAGAAGAGTTTTACCGCCTTGGAGAAGTTTGCAGGAGCAATCCTCTTCAGAGAGCTAGTTCGACGGCGCGACTGTGTCTTCCTTAAACTCTTTATGCAGTCTTCATAAGACCCCATTAGTTTCTTCACCGTCATCTGAACATGGCAGGAAAAGCGAGGATTTAAGCTCTATTTTTTTTTTTTAAAAGGAAGATGAATTGTTCCCTTTCATCAGAAGTTTCTGTATAATGACCACTTACATTTTCTCTATTGTCACTTATATTCTCTGTGGAATGAAGTGTGGTGTTGGCCTGCCCCACTTGATGCTCCTCGTGGTCAGCCTCTGGAACTGAGATTAAAGAGCCACGACCTGAAATCAGTTGAGGAGGATAAATTTTGCCCAGAAGCGTCAAAATATTGAAATAAGAAACGAGGTTGAGAAGGCTTTAGGTAACCTGTTTTGTGATTAGCCGGTTTCCACTTGGTGGTAGCATTTAATGATGATGATAATGTCTGGGATATCACCTGTGCTCCAACCACATTTGCAAACATGGTAGCAGATTCTTTGTGGTCCTCGGTGAGACCAACATACAACATATCATCCAGCCTCTTCTGCAAGATTATACAATTATCTATACAATGAACAAAACAACCATGCATGGGAAACAGACAATCAGATAGAAGCTACTATTGTGATAGCAGCATTTGTCCAAAACCCAGAGAAGACAAGTGCATGCATGTTTTTACCTTTGCAACTTGAAGAACATAATCTCCAAGGACCTTGTATCTCTGTACACAGTGACGCACTTCATGTGCTTCTGGAAAGTACGAGTTGTTAGTTATTCCTGCAATCTGTCACCAGCCAAAAAAGTACATCTTACAATCTTGATAAAGAATTCAGATGCTAAAAGTATATGACCGTGCAGCATCTTTCATGATTTTTCAAGAGCCAGTAAAATGATTCAACTGTTCAGATATGAGAACAAACAAGCCCCCACTACAAGACAAAACAAATTGCACAGTGACAGAACATTTCTAGGCATCATTTGAATCGCTTTCACTTCCTCTCTCTCCCTCTCTACTGTCCAATGTAGTCAAAGGTAGCCATTTAGAGTTTGCTATGGCCTACAAATTATCAGTTAAATTCAAACAGTTTCAGAAAGATGCTCATCTTATCACCTGACTTAAGGAGTTCCAGTTATATCAGCTTCAGGTTTCTCCCCATGATAACATACATCACCAGGTTTACAGGTGTCATGTACCACTGAGCATAATCAGTATGCGTTCAATAAAATTGAACCTCCCCACAAACCGGACACAACTATGATCTAAACGTGTTTAGGAAGTCCATCATCAAGATCAATGCAAATTGAACCTCCCTCACTTCATTTTCATCATTTTAAACATGCGATTTATGTAAAAATGATGTCAATCATCACTTATAATGTGATGAACAATAACGCACATGAATTTGCACAAAAACCATTGAAGATTTACTTTAATTTGAAGGATTTGGAGTTTAGAGATTTAGGGTTAGGGTTTACAATTTGGGGTTTAGGGATAGAACTCAAAATTGGAGGTCTAAGGCTTAGGGTAATCGGCTAATTAGTTGTTATCATACGTTATATCATCATATTACACTGATTCTACAAATTAAAATTCAACATCCGACAATTAGAACTGACAATGTTCTATCCTAATTTTCATTTGTATTCAAGGAAGCCCAGAAAGAAGTCCAAGTTACCAGTTGATTTTAGGTGTTCCCAGTTACATTATTTTCAGGTTTCTCCCATGATTGCCTACCACCTTCCAAGTCTTTATATGACCATAAAATCAGACAAACCCATGATCTAAGCATGGTTAGGAAGTCCATTGTCAAGATCGATATAAGTTGGTCCAAGTATGAAAAGAAAACAACAAACGTTGCCTAGCAGAATAAGGAAGAAGCAGAATATTAACTCCACCACCTAAGTTCAACCATCGCCCTCTTAAAGACAATCTAACTGTCAAGCTCTCTTAAATGCAATGCAAAAGCGTGAAGGCAACTTTTCCATGCAAATTGGGATGATGCAAAACCAGTGCATATCTGCCTTAGAAGCCATCTTCTCTGTTTGTCTAGATTTTCCGCAACAGTAAGGTTATAGAACCCTAGTCATCGAAACTTTTATCACTTAAGCGACTCAAAATGTAACACCAACTATTTCACAAATACTGTCCAGAACCAAACTCGAAATAAATTGGAGCAAACTCTTGTTATATCTCTGGGTCTAAACTTCCTACTACAGCAACTACACACTCTGATGCTACAGAGAAATAAAAAAAAAAATCATACCATTTTAGCAAGAGCCTGGCCTTCACATTACATGGGGATGGGGTGCAGTGCATAATCAAACAAGTACTAAAGAATTGGAGTTAAATATCCATTGAGATTAAACGAGGGAGGCACCTGAAAAGTTGCTCCATTGTGAACAATATCACGAGCTATAGGGTCATTTATATATTGGAGTAATGGCATCACAATCTCCTGCATGCTATATGGGTTATTGCTCTCAACTCTATCTGAGCCTCTATGCCTTCTTGCATCCCTCTGCACACGAAAAATAAGATTTTGCAACAACAAAGAGCAAGGAATGAGATGACAGTCGTTTAAAATATTACTGTATGATCAAGAAAACACTTGACACAAAATTATTGTAGTTTCTGTAATATTGCTCCCCCTAGATCATGTTACTAAATACTGAAAGGATACAGGTGCAGAGATAAGAAACAGGGTGACACAAACAGCAGCATATTATTTTGGGGAGTAATGATTATTACTTTAAAGTTGTCACTCTGTTCACTGAAATATAAGCAAGGTAACTTCATATAATTTACATTCTGCAAGAAGATAAATGGCAATCAGGTCAGACTGATGAAGTAGGATACAGAACAATTACATACCCTAGAAAACAGGTCTTCTCTCATCCATGGAACCAAGTATTTCCAGGGCCATATATCCAATGTACTAATTCCAGATGTATTAGACCGCAAGCGACCAGACATTTTAGTTGCAGACGTTAAGTTAGGATGCACCAAAAACCTGGCAGCCACTTCAACTGAAAACTCATAAGCACTAAAGACCCGGTCAACTGGATTCCTGAGTATGGTCACCATAGAAGTTTTCTCCTTAGGAAGCTTAGAAATCATGCTATAGTCGTCATGAGTAACCAATAGCCTGCACTTTTGTTTGCTGCACAAAATGAAAATCACTGCTTGGCTCAATTTTTCACCTTAAACTGCAACACTAGAAATCACCAGTATGCAAATTTGAGGAAGAGATAGTACCTTGGGTCAAACCGTAACTTATCATAAGAACGGGGACATTCATCTGAGCCAGAGTACAACTTTCTCAAGAAACTGAACAGAAGGAAGAAAAAGAGAGGAGACAATTAAGGATTCCTCAGGCAGGCGAAAGCCTAATCATCTCGGGCAACTAAAATACTTCTGAAGATTACCAGTGAAAGTATGTTCGCCCTCCAGTTCTTGGGATATGAAGAAAAAACAATAAATCTCGAAGTGTATGCTTGTCCTCCTTAGCTTCTTGTTCAAGAGCTGAGCTGCTCCACTTCTTAAGAACATTTTCACACTGGCTGAAACCATTTTCAACAGCATAGCTGTTCGCTGCTGAAAAACATACGCAATATTCAGAAAGAAGAACCGGTATTTATCAACTGAAAACTCTGGTTCCCTTACAAACAAGTAAATTCACCACAGAGAAACTACTCCTACTTAGTAACTGTTTGCTATATCCAGTAAACGAGCATAAACAAGGGATAGTGCTGAAACGCGGCCCACTATTACAAATCGACAGTAACATGCTCAGGCATCAGGAAAATAAGAACAAGTCCAGCAAAAACTTACCCAACACATAGGTAAGCACCAAAATCGGTACTAGTTTGAGAGCAAGAGCCATTCACTGAGATCCTACTCAAACTCCTGGCAATGGCAAACACCCAGCATTGTCATTATCTCATCATAAACAACTTGCCGGAAAATGTGCGAAGCAGACAGTAAAATGGATAAACGATCATGAAATTTGCGGCAACCCCACACTCCACAGTGGCAGCAAAACAAAGAATCCATCCTTTAAGTTAAAGTCTCTAAAATTCTGGGCCTGCAAATAACTTGCCTGCTACCTACTCCTACCAGACTACCAGCAGTAAACCGAACCAAAACTCCACCAGATAAAAGACTCACAGACCGAAGCCAGCCAAGAGAAACCCTAAGGCGGACCACGAGGGAGCTTAACTGAGGAGCGGGAGGCGAATTGGAATATACTACCATCAACCATCCGCACTATAAAATAAGCAAATGGGAAACAGCGAGAAAACAAACAGACAAACAAAAGCAAAGCAAAGAAACAGGGAATAGTGGAGTCATCCTAACCTGTATCGAGTTGAGGGATCTCGTGCTCATAAATTTTGTTCAAATCCCTGTGCTGGGACTTGTCTCCACAACACAACAACACAATCTGTTCCTTCCCAACGCAAAAATCAATTTCGGCCCCACAGGCAGGCGCCAGCTCCCGATAGTGCTGATCGGCGGGGTTTTTTTTACCCTTCCTTCTCCGGCGCGGTGGTTTGGCGTTGCCCGGCCGGCGTAGTCTGTGTCCGATCAACACAGGTACTGAAGGCGACGGTGAATCAGTAGTGACTTAACAAACTGACTAACTGAGTCATTCGTTCCCCAAACCCAAAATGGGAATTCTGGGGGCCGGCCCGCGCTCGGGAAGGTAAAAACAATTTATAAGGGCAAACAACGAGATTTTCCAAATGGTAGCTGGCAATTTCGACTACCTATCTATTTGACCTGTTTTGAGTGGGTTCGAATCCGTTTCGTGGGGTGGGATGGATATGAGTACGTTCATTAACTGGACTTGTATTGACCTATCCCATTCTCGACTAAATTACACGTAACCTTAATCAAATTACTTAAGATTTTCCTTTTATTACATCATAATTTAGCTATAATAAAGTTGTAAATTAGTAAAAACTCAATTTCTTTAATAATTTAACTACATTTATCATAATATTTTTTGTTTTCTTGGTCTTATAATAAAAATAACGAATATTCCTAATGTTTTTCATATAAATTGCATATTCATTGGGTCGACCTGCGATCCATGATAAATTACTCGACCTGGACCGACCTGCCACGGGACAGATCTGGATACCAAGAAACCCGCCTCGAACATGCCCATTGCCATTCCTTATGGTAGCTTTGAAAATGGCTTCCTAATAACACGGCATTATTCTTAGTTTTCTCGAAAATAACGATTAACTCATAGAAATTTTAAAATAATGATTGTTTTTCCCTGGTGGTCAGTGGTCACCAGCAAGACTGTCTAGTGTTTACTGTTTACTGATCACAATTATTTTTTATCGATTTGTTTGATATTCAAAAAGTTCAAAACCTTTCTTTTTAACCGATTTCCTTTGTAAAAAAGATAGAAATGTGTTAGATGAGTAGGTGAATCATTTGAGAAGACATTACAAATTTCATCGTTCGTTTAGGATTACATAATTTTAGGACAGATTACAAAGTTTGCGAATCGATATTGGTTCGGTCATGTCTGAGTTGTGGTGATCGTTTCTGTTTGTGATCATGCCAATACTTGTCATGCTTTCAGGAAAGAGGAGCTAGAAAATAAGGAATCTTGTTGGTATCAAGCTCAGATGATACAAATATAATGATGGAGAATCTATATCTATATACACAAACAATCACAAATTGAGCAAAAGCCCAAAGCATATCAAATCTCAAATCGGGGGATTCAATGAAAGAATCAGTCACAACGGTTTCCTTTATAATGAATTCAGAGTTTACTCTAAAAAGACACACAACTTTTTCACTGTGCTTCCAAATTGTTGCTCTGTGGGGGTTGCTTGCTCCTGAACTGTTTGTCTGTCATTGTTTCAACGAAACAGCTTTCGACGCGTCCAGATGGTTCAATCGGCACGTCCCCAGCAGATACTCCGGCAGTTCCTCTTCCGTGTTAGCCTGTGAGGACGATAGGATCCGGTGAGAGAGGGAAAATGAGCCAAGTTTCTTTATGTTGTTTTTCAGCGAAAACCTGGTTAATAGATTGTGTGATACCTGAACAAGGAAAGCCATTTCGATGACCAGATTGCTAAGGTAGCCCAGAACAAGACTGACCACGCCTCTTGCAACTGTTGATGACCCTATGTCCACTCCAAGCTGCACCACATTCATCAAACATTAGTTACAAACTCAAGGTGGTTCCACGAAAGACGCAGAACTTGGAATAGTAAAACTTGTGAGGAACGCGTGTTTGTTACGTGTAGTCTAAGTTACCTCGAGGTAGTTCTTCCCCCGGAAATAGTTCATTTCCAGTGCTTGGCCAATTAGGCATGCTTTCTTTCCAACACTCTGTTTCACTATCCAGGAACCCTGCAACAATGACAAATTAGTACACTAGGAATGATTGAGATGAACATGAAACAGACAGCTGTCAGTTCTGGGCTTTGACTGACCTTGGATATGTAAGGAATAAGCTTAAATCTTGAGTTCCTGAATGCATCATCCCCATTTACAAAGCTCTGTAGCAATGGCGAATCTTCCAAAGGCGTGTTCATCATGAAGTACAATGCAAGGCTATATGTCGTCGAACCTGGCACCTGTTTCATGGTAAGAACTCTGTAAGTTCCAACTAACAGTGGCCATAGAGGAGATAAAGCTGTCTTCTGAACCACGTTTTCTGGTGGCCAGACTTACTTGAATGTTTATAATCAAGAAGAACTCTGGCCCGCCTTGTGCCGCATATTTCTGCAAGACATGACTAGTTAACATGCAGGCACAGCCAGCAGCTGAATAATATGCACAATGATTTAGAAATGGTTGGAGACAACGGAAAACCTGAACAATGCTCCCAGGACGGCCAGCTAAATCATCTTCTCGTTTGTCAGATTTAACCCAATCTGCAGCAACCATCTCCATCAAAGTACCCCTTGCCTTGATCTGGAAAATTAGCATAAAACATTAACTACCAGCTATATATGAAACCTTAAGCTGTCAACACAAAGGACAGCGATCTAGTCTAGTGGATTTCTGGAGACTCATAATAGTCTGTAAAGCATTCCGGTAGACAACATTTCCAGATGAATTCAGATGAAAATTATGCACATGAATGTTCAACAAAGGAAGACCTAACAAGGCTGCAGCAAATGAATGGTATAATATCGATAAAAGAAGTCAGCACACAATCATACAAAATAAGTAAGTTCTCACAGTAAAAAAAAAAGTAAGTTCTCACTCTAATTGACTCGATCAAGGAAGAGATTACAATTTTCTGCCAGCTTCCTAACAAGTAAATTTGTCACTAAAACATGGGCTCTACCTTCTTCTGGTCTTGGAGATAATTTTTTCCGCGGATCAAAAAGGTTGAAGGATCAGTCATTGCCCAGCTGGAGAGCATTGTATATGTTTGATCTTTAGGAAGAGTGGTCCCATAGCAGTAGGATAGATTGTCTTCTCTAACCAAGTCTTGTAAGTCCACATATCCCCTCTTTTGAACTGAAGCACGAGCAATGACATGATTAATTTGGCAAATTGGCAACATCAACTTGATGGTTGCAAGACCAAGTGACCAACCAGCAATGCTGCTACCATTTGGGGCAAGAGACAATTTTAATCTCAAGGTAAATCTATTCGGGAGGCAATTTGGATTAAAATAGTTAAGACATTAGGTAATGTTATAAAAGAACCACAAGCACCTGCAAGATCATGCAATTTCCTCACGAAAACGGCTGCAGTAGATATCTTAGGTTGACGCATATCCTGCAATTATGGGAGTCAAGCCAAGTAAGCGACAGATAAAGTAATCTTCAATTGAGCAGAGAAAAGAATCACCAAGTGGGGAAACGGATAGAAGTCTTTCTGGAGGTTTGACAGACACAGCCTAAGTATGCATCCATGTTAAATAGTAAGAACTAGATGAAGCGGACTGCACAGACCATTAAAATTAAATATATAACTAATGCAACTACTGCAAAATCAGAATTAGTAGGCTTGACTTGAGTGAGTCAAATATGGCAATAACTTGTCCAACTAATCATCAGAGAGTGACATATAAATATAAAACAATAAACATGGATATATGCAGACATAAATGCAAGAAAGGGAAACACTAGTAGCAAAGGTGATTAAGGTTATCAGCCAAAATAACAACTTCTTTATCTGATTTATACAACACTATCAGATGTCTCTGCAACACGTATCACTACTAACAAACCTACCACATAAGCTAAAGGCATCCAAATTTCTTGGGCCAAACAAGAAGTATCAAGCAGATTCCTAATCTAACAATTCACATGCATGTTTTGCTTGAAGAATGAAGCAAGGTTCTAATACTATAAAAAGCTACCTGAGAGTGCCCTTCTGAACCAAAGTCGTAACTCCAGCATTCACTATCAGAGGGTTCTGGAACATCAAAAAACTCATCAGCAGCAGAATCATTAAGGCCTCCTAAGCTTGCACGCCCCGATGGAGCGTTATCTGCTTCATCACCCAGACACTTGTTTGCCTTGACGTCATCATTGGTTATCATTTCAGTATCATCAGTTCCCACGTCCAGGACAGCCCGGTTCAATCCGCTACCTGTCAACTCTCCTGATGAAAACTCTGGGGCACAGGGTCCTAGTTTTGCCTTGAACAACTCCCTTAGTGCTGCAAGTACAAAACGGATGATTTAAACGAATAGTTCAGGAGAGCCAGAAACTTCAGTACGCCTTAAGTCATTTATTTATTTTTTGGTGAAAACAACAGAACTTGAAGATAACATGAATATACTTGAACAATACCAGCAATTCTTCCTAGCATTCTGATGGTAATAGATCTGGCTGCAGAAGTTTTTATGTATGATCTCCAGAATTTCCAGTCAATTGCAAGCATGTGTTTTACCACAGATCGTTTTCCTTGGTTCAGGGGAGAAATGACATATCCACCACCTAAAAAAGCATCAAGATGTTAGAACTGAAGAACAGGACACACTCAACACCAAATTCATAATCAACCATATCAGGCCCCAAGGCTCTGAGGTCCTGGTATCAATGATTGAGAATACACGATTATCTATGATATCGTCAAGTTCGGTTATTCTTGCATCAGACAAGAAATTAGAGAGATAAAACAATGCATGGTCCCCTCTAACATCAAGATACTTGAAAGTATAAAAAAATTGAGTCCACACCCCAAAATCAAGCATACATTACTTTTAAGGCAAGCACGGACATAGCCTTTCTGCAGGGGACACTTCTTGTGAAATACAGAGTGGTAGAGAATAACTGCAAACAATTCATTAGAGGGCGTTAAATTTTTCATCTGATGCAGGAAACATGACTTGCAGACACATTTAATTTTCAAGTAGATCCTACCATACGTTCCATCGTCCTCCCTCCGCCAGTACCTCCGCAGCAGAAGATCTCTTCTTTTCATTCCCCTGAAATGGATAATGTATAACAAGCATAAGATTTTGTACACTGAGTTAACTGAATCAATATTAAAGTTGAAGAATCTTGGTCGGTACCAAGGTAGCCAGTCACGGTACAACTGCTTGTGAATGATATCAGTATGGCCATCAAGGTGCTCAACCACACTTCCTTTGTGGAAACAGAAGTCCCATCTGCCAGGAAATAAGTAAATTTTAAACCTTTGTGGAAACAGGTTTTTCTTTTCATTATCATTTGAAAGTTAACACAGGTCTTCAGTCCAAGGTTCCAAGAGTTTACATTTCTGTTTTACTTTATCAGTCCATTCAAACTTAACAATGAAGGTTCCAATTTAAAGCTTCATTCCAACAACTTACTCTGATCTTGTGGGACCAAGAGACATGAGAGTTTGGAATATGGATTCTGATGCTCCATCAACCACACCAACAGCCATTATTGCAGGATGATCATCCCACTGAGAAGAAATAACCCCGTTAGCTATGCACTAACAATTACAGCCCACAAATTCTGGAACTTCACATACCTTACCATGAGAATCCCTGTCTTTTGTTTCTTTAAAGAGACGTAAACCTATAAAGAGCACGAGTTATTAGAAACCAAACCTCGGACTTATTGCTGAATATCAGACGGAAAAAAAAACCAGATTTCTTGCCATTTTGACATCCGAAAATTGTCCACGATGAAGGTGCAATCACATCATTAACTGGATCAGTATGTGTGGCTGAAGTGGAACAAAGAGTCCAATCTATCGATCTACACTGCTGTACTCTTCGAGAATCAGTCAATCTGAAAGCATGAAGCTTAATATAGTTAACAATCAGAGGAAAGAACTGGTTTCCATTAACTGATAGATTGGAACCATTTGTTATGAACTATTACTCCGCATAACCATTGTTTGATAAACTCAAAATGCTATTTCCAGCTAGAGTATTTTACCAAACTTAAGAGGTATATGATAACAGAAGATGAAGAAACAAATAGCGGTTTGTGCTATGATGCTAAAGGTAATGGCAACTATCAAAAAATACTACAGGTGAACACTAGCATCTTACCTGAAGGACTGCCAGGTGTTCCTAGAACAACCTACAATATTATGACCACCCTGCATGTTTATGTAATAATTAGTCATCATCGTTGAACAGATCCAATATTTTTCAATAAGTTGCAATCAGAACCTTCACAGCAGCTCCTTGAAATGAGTGAATCCATTTTGCTGCTTCCTCAGGACTGCTGGCTCCCAACTACAACATACGGATTCTGTAACTTATAAATCGTCATCGTACAAGCCAAAAACATTATGTATTTGGTCTTTTGGTGGTCACCTCACCTTAAGTTGATCGCTGTGATTTGAAGTGTTGAACAGCGTAAATATGAAGAGAACCTGCAAGTTGACAAAGTTACCATAAAAGAGGATGTATTGATATGAATCTGAATCACCCTTTCTTTCACACAAACTATTAAAGAACGCAAGACTAGATGATGTTTTCATACTCTTCTATTAACATTCTCTCTTCCGTTGTCTGTCACTCGAATACACGAATCTATGATAGCACTTCTAAGAGGATCCTGAAAACCAAAACCGGGTCAGAGAGTAAATCAGAAGATAGAAAGAACCGAGCTGACACTTTGAAAAGATAAAAGCAGACACATAAATTAAGATACTAGGACGAATTACTCAATCTGAAAACCACACCGCTGGGTCATGAACACATCAGAAATCAATACCTTTCACTTGCATAACTTAAACTCTATGAAGCAAGTGGGTACAAACTACAAAGTACTTTTCAACACCCTGATAATTCCATATCCAGTCCACCCAAACTCAGATTCTACATTTTAAGCAAAGTTTTCCTAAGATAGAAAGCAGAATATGACTCCATCCCCAATAGTTCCTATGGGAGCTCAGAAATGTTAAGAGAGATACGCGTCCAAAGACTCATCATGTTCACTAGCCCCTCCCACTAGAATAGAAAACTGTATCCTCAACTGTAACGCTTGGTTCTTTTGCCAAACACAAAAGGCAAACTAACACCACAAGTTTCCTGCCAAATAAAGCAACAGTTCCACCATGTCCCTTCTCCTTCCACATGAACAAAAAGGGATACCCAAACAAGGAATCCTAAGAGATTACTTATCATAGACCAAAAGGCTTAAATCATTAATCAACCAGTAATCAAGGAATCCACCATTAACTTCAAAAGGCAGAACCAAAAAGAAAATAACAGCGAAGCACCATCCTGAACCCTAAACATCAGAATCCAGTAACAAACTATGAATCCTTGCTAATGGCGATTCCCTCGATGGACACCAAACAATCAAACACGAGTGCATTTCTAGATTGAGTTAGCTAACAACCAGCCAAAAATGTAACAAGCGAGAAAGGATTTCCAAGAACCAGCAGCCATAAGCAAGTAGGATGAACTGGAAATCGCGGCAGCATTAGCTTGTAAAATTCCAAAACAATGACGGAAAGAAAAAGAAGTGTGATGAGAAGGCGAGAGAAAGAGAGACGAGAGGAGACCTGGTCATTCGAAGTAGGGACGGACTTGAAGCTCTTGAGATTGTGATCTTGGAGAAGGAAGTAGCGCTTACTGGAGTACTGCAATCCAATTCGATTGGACCGCACAACGTACAACCAGCCTTCCACTACCTCCTCCTTCTCTTGCTCCACCGGCACCACCTCCATCTCTCTCCGTTTCCCGACGAAACGATTGCTTTGTTCCCCGAACCAGAAACCGTACAAGATCCGATGAAGGTTTTCTCACCCTCCGCTTCTCTCTCTCCACTCAACCTATAGCACTATTCTCTCTCAACTGTCGTCGTATCACTCTTTTTTACCGTTAATTACACCTCGCAGCTTCGCCGGCCGCCGGAGCTACGATCTCCGGCCCTATCCGTCGTCGTCTTCCACCCCCCCCTACGTCGGCCGCATCGGAGGATCAATGGAGGCGGAATTCGATGCCGGAGATAGGAACAGAAATCAGAACCGAAAGGAAACTGCCTTGCCTTGGCTGTGTGGCTTTCTGGCTGGTGGAGGTGGTGGTGGGGGTAACTGGTAAGAAAAAGAATTGAATTGAATTTCTCTTTATTGTTTTTTCTTGTTTCAGCTTTAATTACTTTAATTAATTAAAAAGATTTTTCTTTTGATATTTATTTTCTTTTAAAATTTCGCTTTGTCGTTTTGCCCTCTCTACTTTGCCGTGTTGGGAAAAAGAGAAGAAGGTTTTATTTGTTAAAATTGGTATTAGTATTTTATTTATTGTGTATTGTAATTAAGTGCCCGTAATATAATGAGACAAAGATTGACAGACAGCGGAATGTGTTATGAAAAGCGTCATCCCTTCCTTGCTATTTACTACTTTGCCCCCCTTTGGTCGATTGGTGGGCCGTTTAGGGCCATGGATTTCGGTACAAATTCCAAATTTGATGGATTTATTTCAAATTTTACCCATCAATAAAAATGGATACATTCGTGGAACTCGTGATCTTATAAATCTCATATATTATACTGGAATTTTTAAATCCTTAACAACTGGTGTTATATCTAACAAATTCATCAAAATATACAATTCAAATCTATCATATAGACTTTTTAAATCCATAATGCAACAAATACACCGTAAATCCAAAAATTTTCCTGTCAAACTCTTGTTTTTAAAATTCGACCAGCAAACCACCCCTAAATTAGAACTACCAAAGGTGTGAAAAGGCCAAAAATGCAAGTGTGCTATTTTTTGTTGTATTGTGATTTGTTGTCATGCTAACCTTAGGATTGTGTCGTTATTATGAGTGATCAATGAAATGACATATGGTTACCATGCGATTTGTCTCGCGCAAGATGGGTCGAAAGTTCCAGTCTAATTGTTAGATGTCACATTCGAATTTGTGATCTTTATACGTGTTACTTCAATTGATATCGGTAACAAAGTTATACATATTTGGGGTGAAACACAAACAACATAGACAATTTATATGAGTTATGACACTATAAAAACACAATCTCACATCCATAAGGTGTAGGGACATCTTATATGGAATCAAAGTATATGCTAATATATGTACTTATCTAGCTTAATACAAATGGTTTAGTTGGACTGAATGGACATAAACCAGATATATACTGTTCATAGTGTGATATGTGAAATGCAGCAACATGCATGCATGAACATGGACCATCATTCAAGTGTCAATATACACTACCTAATTTATAGTTTACTTTGATACGCCACTGATTGATGCCAGATTTTGTTTTTTGAGCAGACCTATAACAACGATAGTCATACAATCAGTTGCGTTCTCGCATCATCCATCTCGTACAGATACCAAATCTAACAAAAACACGTAAATAAATTCATGAATTGACTCGAGAATTTGATTAAGACTATTGAAGTTAAGTATCAAGCCGAAGCACGTAAACTACAACAACGAAAAGTACTTGTTAATTCAAGTCGGATGTTTTATCTGAACGATATTATCCTCTCTCACATACGGATTACACCGGGGGGAAAATCTTTTGCCAATTTAGGTATAAGTAGCTGACTCGACATCAACTGTGGTTGTACAATGAACAGCATCATGTGTGACATTATGCATCTCATGTGTCACGAAACTATCATTGTCGCCCCAGCTACCTATTTTTGCCTACCCATATGCGTAGAAGGGAACGAAAACAAAAGAGTGATGTTGATAATGATTAATAATAATAAAGAAGATCATCAGCTCAGCTAATCACGCCAGCCAATTATAGTTAATCGTCATCATCAACTTCAACGCCTAAACATCTTTTGCTTTTGTCACAAGCAAACAACCAAATGGCAACTGTGGCACCAAACATTCTTGAAAGCCTATAATAAGAAGAGTGCCCATTCCCAAATTCTTGTCCCTGTCTCCTACCTCCCCCACCACCAGGCAGGCACCCTCTGCTTTTTTCCTCCAAATGTTTATTCAAATTGTTAATGATGATTGACAGAAGATATTAAAGGGTTTTGAACCCACCAAATTTGCCTTTGTTTTGTTCAAGGGTGGTTATAAAGTTCCAGTCCGGTCCGGTTAAATTGTTCTGAATTGATCCGGTTCCGATCCGATTTTTTTGAGAATATAAGAATCAAAAATTGGATTGGACACAATCCAGTCTTGATCTGGTATGGTCCCAATTCAGTCTTGATTTTAGACTGAGCTTGTGGCGATTTGAGTGGCGCGGGGGGGGGGGGGGGGGGGGGGGGGATTTGAGTGGCCTAAGGCCTGGAATGGTTTGGGTGTTGGCCTCGCTTATCCAGTCTTTGTCCGGTTTTCGGTTGGGTCCCAAACGATTTTTTACCTCAAATCTAGGCCCGAAGATTGGATTGGATTGTTTGTTATCCGGTCTCTATCCGAGTTATACGGTTCGGTTTCGGGTAAAACCAAAAAGCCTGGACCAAATAGCCAGCCCTACTAGCAGGCACCATGACAATGGCTAGTATCCAATCTCTACCGCGAGCTTTGTCCATGAGTGGAGCTGTTCAGAGCAGTTCGACGTGGAAAAAAAAGTTATTCGAATAGAAGGAAGTTCGACTCGTTTATCAACAGTTGAGCTAATTTTTTGTTCAGCTAGCGAGTCAACTTGACTAGATAGATCAAAGTAACTCTTCAACTATTTTGTTTTGAGCATATGATTTTTTTTTTTATAGCCATGCATGTAATTAACACATGACATAGTGATGAATGAAGGTGATCGATTCGGAGTTTCAGACCGCTCTGCTCCGTACTGTATCACTTGTCTTGACAACTCGACTTTGCACGAATCGATCGAATAATAAGTTTGTGGAAGAACCAAATTTTTCATGGCTGTGGAGTGTTTTGTAGCGATTTTTAGTAGTGCTTGATTATGTTGTGTTAGCCATATGCACTTGACTTGTCCTACATATGATAAAACAAATAACAATGGTTGGCTGTGGGAGAGGGTTGAATAGTAAGAAGACAGACATTTCAAACCATGAAGACTGAAGACGTAAGTCCAATTCACATCAAATAGAAAATGATGCATGCCAAATTGACAAGTTTTGTGGCTATACGGTTCGTTCCTTCTCCACCACCTGTGTTAGATTTTAGATGTGGTCGTCGTAGTAAGTCAATCTTATCCCCAATCGTTTAATTTAATTGTTTTTAAAATCTGCCAAATGATTTGCTTAAAGAATTCGAGGATCTATTCATCGAGTTTAAAATTAGTACACATATGAATTATGTATTGTGTGCAAATCGAAGAAGTTATTAGATATTTTGATTCTATATCTTCTTCTATCATTAAATAATACGTACTTCGATATATCTAAATTTGTATGTCATTTCTTTATAAATTTTTGTACATACTAGTAAAGAGGGTGTGCGGGAGGAAGGAGGAATCCACCGTAAAATTCAAACATAAAATCTTCAAAGCTGAAAATTTACTGTGAAATTGGCTTAGACCAAACCGTTGTCTCGTGCTCTCTTGGGTCTCTGGTTGCTGACAATGGATTCCTCGTTTGTTAATCCAGTTTTGTGGAGGATCGTTTTCATGACCCAATGGGCTTATATCACTTAGCCCAACTCATCTTTGCATGGGCCTTTCAATTCAACTATTAAATGCGTGAAAATTTTCAAATATCCACATTCTTAGATTTAAACTTTTTGTTTTTTTTGAAAAATCTCAATGTAATGTTTCCAAAACTAGACGAAAAATTATCTTGCGACGTGAAAATTATCTTGGAAAAATCTCAACTATTAAATGCTATAAAGTATTTGTGTTTTAATGTACAATTTAAAGTTGTACTGTAACGTTAAATGTATAAGTTCAGGTTGTACCATAAAACAATTTGTACAATTATGTTATGGTACAACTTCACAACTTGAAGTTGTACCACCACATAAATGTACAAGTTAAAGTTGTACAATAAGAGAATTTGTACAAAAAGTATAGGTACAATATGAAGTTGTACCATCACGTTAAAGGTACAATTTCAAGTTGTACCATAAAGGCAAAAATCTATATCACCAATGCTATATAGCATTGTAAAATTCCTCGTGAAATATAGCATGTTTTTCGTAAGTAAGATGACAAATTAGTGATTGTAATTTGAAGATATATTGAAGAACACTACTTACTCGTCATTTATACCTAGCAGTATATGTTCCAAAGGTGATGAGAAATCAGGTGCTAGCAGTAACAGACACCTAGATACTAATAAAGTTTCTATGAACAATTTGGCGAACTTAATATTTATCCAACTAATAAAGCGAGAAATGGATGACAAGCATTAGCAAAAAATTAAGGAAAATAATCCAACTCCCACTATACTATTGCAGACAGTCTTGATCAATCAATCATGGATGATTTCTTAAAGAATTTTGAACAATGAAAATGACCAAATTTGACATCATCCTTCTGAAAGTACGCTGAATATGTTTAAGCAACAAATGCCTTCTGTTCTCTTTGGTTGGAGAGATGCATTGAGGAAGAAAGGGTTTATTTCAAAGAATCAAAATCACTTTTCACATCCCACAAAAACCATAGCTGATCACCTTAAGGCACATCACAAACACAAAGAGAACCAATCAAAGAAAGAAAGGAAAGAAACGTTTCTAAGCTTTATCTCTAAACAACAGAGTCCTTAGCCAGTTTCTTCGCCTCAGCATTTTCCTTCTCTTGCACTCCCATCAATGGTGTAAGCACACCCTCCTTCTCCTTCACCTGCCAAGAAAAAAAAAAAAACCAAATCACACATCAGCACCACTTCTCCAAAGCCCGCTTTTCGCACTCGTAAACCCGAAATTTGTTACACAAGATCATTCATTACCTGAGACCCTTTCAATGGCAAGTCATCTGAATGCTTCTTCTTGCTCTCTTGGGTACAGAAGTAAGAGTACAAGACCATCCCACCCATGGCCACAAGGATCCCTACAATGTTCCTCATGGAGAAAGGGTCATGCAGCAAAGTATAACCCAGCAGTAGGACAAGGCATGTCTTTAGGTGCCCTAGAACTTGATATGTCACAGGAGATGTCTTTCCTATCACCATGAATGTGCTGAAGTTCACTGCCACTGCTATCACACATGACAGCAATATGAATGTCTGCAGAACCACAAAGAGATGCCAGATGTCAGTTTCTTTTGGGAGATTAGAAGGTGAAATTGAACAGAAGTGAATTTTTACCACTACTAAAGGGTTGTATTTGTATGCAAACACATTCTTCTTGGTGAGGAACTGGTCAACCAGAGGGCCTGAGATGAAGAGAACTGCAGCCTGGAATGGAGCTGATTGGTAGAGCAGCTGGGTTGATGACACATTCAGCCTCTTTTGGATTGTGTTTGTCAGCTGAAAAAGGTGAAAATTTATGTCAAAACCATTAACAGTATTCGAAGGAGGCTGAAAAGGGTGGCATTCGTTCGAAGCTGTTGGATCATGTCTACACGTGATCTCAGTTGTCTTGTTATGTGTGCTCACAATGCGATTGTAAAGTTGGTAGTGTATAACGGACCGAAATTGAGATCAAATGAGACATGATCCAACGAATATGCGAAAAAGAAAAGAGGTCGTACAATTTGGCCAACACAGGTTGTTAGGATGGCAAGAAGGGACAGAATGGTGCCAAGGCCATTGAGCTGCATATCTGTCACAGAGGCAATCCCAACTCCAACAAGCAACAGGAAGAGAGCAAACTTTATCTTTTGGCTGCAACATGACAATAAGTCACATTGAATTTACATTAAAAAAACAAGAAATTCCAACAACCATTCCACCTAATTAAAGATTCTAACCTACATTTGGTGAGATCCAAATATGATTGTTCCTATTCTATTAATAACCCGCATCATTGTATCATCGATTGTATGACATTTAAAGTCGAATTTTATCGTAATAACTGGAGCTAAGGGGAATACCTGAAGTTTTTGTTCAGGAAGAGTGTTTCCAATAAGACAGTGAAGGGGATGATCGCAAGTTTTGTCATCTGCAATTATTTTGGTGTTATATATCTCAGAACTTTGAACAAATGTACCAAACACAAACCATCATTGATGACAGTAGTCTTTCTTACCTGGTAAAAGCCAATGGAGTTGAAACCCAAGCTGAGGTTAAGGAACCCAATTGAGATACCATTGAGCAGCCCGAAAAGAATCACGGTTTTCATGTCAACCGACTTCGACTCGAACAGGTTGAACCGGTGAGCCACATGGAGTGTGCAAAATGTCACCACCAGGTGCCAACTCGTGAGTGTCGTAGCTGCAGGGAGTCCAATCAAACAAACCGAGTCAACCATTGTATAAAAACGATAGACCTAATCTTCAACCGTCCAATTTTACGATTGGACGGTTAAAGAAGGTCTAAACACGTGCTTATGAATCAATTACCCAGCTACCAAACCGGATCAACAGTTTTGGCAGAGGGGTGAATGTATATATATGTTTACCAAAAGGGAAGCCTAGATTGCTCATCAAAGCTTTGTTGCAGATGACAATGGAGACTGAAGAGGCAACCGAGAGGAACAGAGCCCCAATAACTCCCAACTGGATCCCTGCCATTTCTCCCATCCTTCTGCTTTTCTCTTCCTTACCCTTCTTGTCCCGTTTCAAGCTTCCCCTGCACATTGCACAACGATGGTATTTGAGATTTTTTCATACCATTTGTTAAAAAGTTCAAAACTTTGCCAACATTTAAACCCAGAAACAGAGAGAATGAAGTACCCGAAGAATTGGGTATTCAAAACAAATCTTTCATAAGGTACATTTTTAAATGAAAAATTTATGCATATGAACTAGCTACCATATGTATTACCTACAAAATTTAGGCAAAAAAGTTAATGCATTCATTTACTAACCTGGTAAAAATGGAAAAAATGATTGCCAAAAAGGAAAAAGTTCTCCTCTTTACTGAAGGACTCTGCCTCCTGAGAGAACTGCCAAGCTAGAAAGAGAGAGAGAGAGAGAGAGAGAGAGAGAGAGAGAGAGAGAGAGAGAGAGAGGGAATGTAGTTTGTGACTTTGTGTTGTGTTGATTTGTCTGGCTTGTATAAGAATGTAAGACTCTTTATATTTTTGAGGAATATTGGTGAAGAAACTTGGGTTGGTGGTGTTGAGGATTAGGTGTTGTCTGTTTGATCCTCTGTTTTTTTAAACATTTTATAAATGGGTTCCTCTTCTCTTTCAGCAACGAACTAACCAGCCAGTGGTTCTGGGTTTCTGGTACTTCCAGAAGCTTATCATTATGTTAATGATTCCATCACCCAACCTCCCCTTCAATAATGCTCAAGTCAAAATATGGTAAGGGTTCCATGTCAGTTGACAACAACATTGCTTTTCAATTTCTCCCCAACAGATTTTTGTTTATTTTAAAACGGTTGTCTAATCTATTCATTAATCTCTTGTTTCAGGCTAATAATTTATGCAATCCCAATTAACAAAGCAACAACATTGTTGGGCTAAACAGTTTTGTAATAAGAAATTTGTAACTTGTAACCATTAGGGGGGAAGAAAAAAACTTATAACTTGTAACGTGTATATTCTCATCCAATACAGGTACGTCGGGGAAGGTAGTTATGTCGCAGACCAGACGTGATTGATCGTGATCGATTCCATTCATTTCGGTATTTACCCTTCGTATTTGACGTGTTGGATTCATGATCACGTAACTTGCTTCATGACGACTCATCGGGAACTCTCCAACTTGTTTGAATAATAGTAAAGGTTAAGACACTCTTTGCATCGAATTTTCACAATCACGAAGGACAAAGCGAAACACACGGGAAACATCCAATATTCAGCAGAGAAAGTTCAAATTGTGATTTGAATCTAGCAAATTGATTATTAGGAGGTTATTATAATCCTGGTATCTTACATTTGAGCCTTAGGCATCAAGTTAGGAAGGTGAGATGGACGTTTTCTTATGTATGTAAGGGAGGGAGAGGGTATCTGCAAGCGCAAGCAAAAAAAAATTCGCCACCTTGAAGCTGCAAAATGTTTGGTGAGTGGGAGGTGGGAGGTGGCAATATAAGAAAACAGAATTACCCTAAAAGCCTTTAGTTTCACTCCAGAATGGTCTATAATTTTAGGGGAATCCTCTGTTCTCCCTCACACCTACCCTAAATTTGGAGGGCTATGGTCCACCCCATCCCTCCAAGAAACCAACCAGGGGGTTGCCTCATGGTTGGTTGGATTCAGTAAGAATGTAAGATTGACACTCTGGGTTTGTAAATTTCATATTGCCATTGACTCATAGAGGTTATTATTCTAAGGGACTAATGACCTTCATAATGGCTGTGTTTTGGATTGAAATATTCACATTAGTGGGTGTACCACGTTCTCAAACCATAACAACAATTTTGATTAGAGATTTTGACTTGGGAAATGGACAAACTCGCCCCGAACGAATCAAATGCGAAAGGGGTAGAAATGAGCGACAAAACATTTCTCCTGATCGTTTTCTGGTGAATAATTTAACTGAAAGCCTATTGCTTCGCTCTTCAAATGCTCGAGTAGTCGATCTTGAATGGCTATGACGAAAAGACTGCAATATCACGACGTATCAAGAGGCGAGAAGAGAGAAATGCAGCAGAAACCAGTTGCTGCTGAAACTCGTGGGTGCTTAAAAAATTAAGTAGGAAGCAGCCGCTTCTTTTCAAAACGTCTCTGTTGCTTTGTTTTGCTGTTTGCTTACGATAACAGCAGGCAGCAGCACATCACTGTCTAACACACTCTCCCAACGACTCCTTAGTAAGAGAGTTTAGATATATACTATTAGATTCTTCGTTGGCTACACTTCAACAAGAACACTGACCCTGACTTGATACCAGTAGGACTTGCCATAAACGTCCTTCTCCAGCGTTGTTGCGGTATTGCGACGCAAGATAGTTCAAGAACTACAAACCTGAATTTTAAACAATGGAGAGGCTACAGGCGGAGAAGCAAAGCAAAGCAAAGCAAGTTATCAACAAAAAAATTTCTGCTCTTAGAATATGTTCAAGAGTATCAAACATGAGTGATGATGATATCGGCAGGGAAACCGGAGTATGAACGATCTCTCTTCCAAAAGTGGACTACTACATCAAGAGCGCGCGAGCGAGATGAGCCTACTACTTGGTGTATACAATAAACAAATCGGAATGTACAAAATACAGGCTCGCGAGGGGCAGGGCGAGAGAGCATCTCAGGATCTCACGCAGGGTGAGATGGAAAATATGATGTTCCTCTGATCCCCCCTTTACACCACAGAAATGGTGTGGCAGCGGCCGAGGTGAGCCAGACGCAGGGAAATGTAGCTACAGAAGTAGTTAGCAGACTGACTCCTTCCCCAAGAAACGACGACACTAACATTTGGAGGTTCAGTTTTTGACACCCTTCAAGCGAGCCAAGTATCCCTTGTCGGCAGTTGCAGATCGGCTCGTGCTGCTCAAGAAGTATGCTTTATCAGCACGGAGGAGGCGCTCCTGGAACATGGCCCATTCGCTCTTACACCTTGCTCTCACCCCTTCCCATGGCGCTTTTCCGTTCTCAGACTTGCCCTGAAACAGTAAAGGCAGGAAAACAGACAGATGCTGTCAAATTGGTGTAAGGCGACCAGTCGAAATGTTCATCAATACATTGTGGGAATAGCCACTTCGCAACCTATCTAGAACCTTAGAACGGGGCTGCTCGGTTTCCTGATGTAATTCATAAATGGAGATGAAAAGGGCAACTCACCTGGCTCCCCAGAGAGGGAATTACTTGATGTACGATCCACTGTGAATCAACGACACCGATTTTCTCGTGTGCAGGCTGTCAACGAAGACCAGAAGCAGTTGTAAGTCTGATGAAAGATAACTGAGAAACACGAGCTGCATTCGGATATATTTTACATAATGGACAAGCTTATTGAGGCTCCTGCCGCTATTTGAAATAGGACTTGCGAAACCAAATTAGCTATATAATTAATGCTCATGTATGTTCATATGTGAATTTAAAAGTTGAAAAAGGTGAAAGCAATTGTCCTGCATGGTTCTGGAATATAAATAGAGGTATGCAAGACAAAAGCATATGCTGTTTTTATCTTCTCCAATTTGAGGTAATGGAGCATGAGATTTAGTATGTCACAGCACAAATAGTACTTGGACCCACTCTCCAAGCAGAAGAACCGGGGTTGGGTAGACAAACGTGCGAATCATATGAAAGATTGCGATGAAACACAAAACAGATATAAATACCAACCTCTACACATCTTCTCAGAGCAAAATCCAATCCCCATCCATGGACCAAATCGTTCTACAAAATATCATGAAACGTCATTAAGGGTTGCCCAGAAAATGAAAAACAAAAGAAAACAGACCACATGCAAACAGCTAAATGCTCCATAACACAGCTGAAGGTTGCTTGTGAGATTAGGATCCTAGAAAGAGTATCTCACAAAATCTAGAAGCTGAATCGAAATCTTCTTGTGGTCTGCAGATGTCAAAGTAGCGACGAAAGAAACAGGTTGAACTTCACCCCTTTTAGGAAATTTAAGTTTTTTTATTCATAATCATTTCAATATCCGAAAGCAAAATCCCGAAAGAATACCTTACATGCGGTGCTGTTGATTTTATCAAGACACGTATAAATTACACTATTATGAAATGGAGCATACCTGGATCATATGCCACACACATCGCCAAGCATTACGAGAAAACACAGGCGCCATGATTTCCACAAAGCTGAAAAAGGATAAGGACACATAGTCATGCTAATGCACACAACAATGGATACACCTTTAAGTATGCTGGCCGTAAGGTAGAGCAGACATTTATATGCCACACGCGCACACCCAAATGCACATATATATACATAGAAACTGACAGACAATGCAATAGAAGAAGAAAGAGGTGCTTACGCAGCACATGGAGGTAAATGTGGGTCACTGCACCAGCCTGGTTTCTCCTCTGTATTCCTGCTCGCGGATACATGCCAGAATTGAGGTGAATGAATATTAAATGGAGAGAAATGTATCTCAGGTTAGCTATTTTTACAGAAAGAGAAAAATGTGCAAGCACAAACACACACGAGGGAGGGAGGGAGGGAGGGAGGGAGGGAGGGAGAGAGTACTTGTGAACTTCGCGGTCACCTCTCCGTTTTGTCATCTGCCACGTGAGACCATTATTGGGTTCAAGACCTGGTTGAGAGATCTCTAGCCCATGCTTTTTAACCAAGTGAATGTACCTGTTGAAGGCATGGATTAGACAGGCAAGTAACTCCAGAGTTTCTAAGAGAGGATGACAACGAAGAATAAGCTCACTTGTCTGCATTAAAATGTTCCACTCCAAGATCTTCATCCCAAATGAAGATATATTCGTATGGCGCAATAACGTCTGGGTGCAAAAATCTTTTAGCATACCACCTAGACAATAACATACAGACACTCAGTCAGTCATATTGACAGAGCAGTTTAATGCTTCAGTATGAGGAACCGACTACATGCAAAATTACCATTTTGTTTGCCTTTTCACACTGATATGAATTGCAGTTTTTGACCACTCAAACACATCCCATTCAGTAGCCCGACCATCATAGTGGAATAGAACAATTGTGAACTCATCTGAAAACTATAGCAATGATAAAAAAAAAGTCTCAGAATCCCTCAAATTGTAACCAGACGAAAAATAAAAGATAACACAGAATGGAATGGCTTTAACACCTTTCTAACTGCTGCATCTATGTTATGCCTCTGATCCCAGCCAACTGTGAAGGACACCAAGTACTTTGGTTTCTTCTTGAGATCCTGCATTGTCAGAACATCTTTTAAATGTTATGCTGATCGGAAACTAACCAATTAACCGCACCACCAAGTCATGTAGTTTCAATTAGGTATTCATTTATTCAGACTGCAAAATAAGGCATTCTGGAAAAACAAGGATATAATCTAGAACAATATCCTCTTCAGTAAACCCCTCATGTCAGATTGAGATAAGGAACATGCAGGGTACCAACATTCTAGCAAGTAGAATCCAGTTCCAATTTTCTATTTTCCCCTTTCTTGTATAATATAAATTCCAGATAAGAAATACAAAAAACAAACCCCCAGCTCCTGACCAGAGGGTGGAGATGTTTAATACACTATGCCAGATGCCAAATACTCGCATATGGCAGTCTTCCTCACAATTCACAGAAAATATCATATGCCATCTCAGGAAAATGCATATTTTCATGTTGAACAGTAGCTTACAAAGTCAGGAAGGAACTGAAGCAAAATGGGGAAATATGTCTATTGGAATAGCATCCAACAAGTACTAGGTTGTTTTAGTATAACCAATAAGTGTTGTCACTACAACTGCTTCATAAAACTTAGAAACCTTCACGTATAGATCACCTATGGCACAGATCACTAACAATGATGACTTCATAACTTCTTTCCGGTCAGCTTGTGGATTGCTTTTGAACTTAAAATAACATGAAAAAGAAGTTATAGTATCAAGGCTTTTCCAATGACTGGTTTGAGTACAATGCAGGGTTGCACAATCACATAAAAACGCCACAATTGAAATTGCAACTGAACCATGACAATTAAACAATTACGAGAATGTGGTAGGAAATCAAAGGCAAGGACTCATTCACAATCAAACAGATAAGAGTTTTATTCAATCGTCGCCGGATTTCAGTTAGATATACACAAGTACCTCACTAGGTTCACCCCATAATCGCCGCAAGTAAAGGTCAGTTTCTGCCTCAACGATTCCTGGGGGTAACGACTCTGCGCCACGGGGATTTGTTGGAACATAAATCTGTGATAGTGACCAAAACAGGAACACATAATGATCAGGTTGTGTCGAGATATGCCATGTAAACCAAGGTATAGAAAAAAGATAAGCACTAAAGGTACCTTAGGGATGTTGTACGACTCGCGATTTTCAGGTTCGCCCGTTTTAGATCTTCTGGCATCAATTGATGCCGAATCATAACGATTTCTGATCCCAGAAGGGATGTGAATCTGCAAATGGTGAATAACGAAAGTTCAAATGTTGAAATTTTGAAATTTAGCTTACTGTCAATACATGCACAAAGCAGTAACATCAACAAACCTTAGAAAGGGAATCAGATGGAAATGAGACACCAATAAAGAATCCAAAGATAACTCCTAGAAGTGCTGTAATAATGAGCCTAGTAGTGTCGTTTGTTCTCCTGGAAAATCCACTGCAATGCAAGGAAGGTAACTAGCTCCTGTGAGCAAACTCATTCAAAATCACTTGCTAAAAGATGTAGTAAACTGCAGCAGATTTCACAAACGATGCAAGATATCTGAAATTCAGATGTTCCTCCAGCGTTTAAAATGAAATGAAACCAAAATTACATAGTCTGAACCTTCGGTGAGTGAGCCCCATTGTTGTCCCTTTTGATTTAGACATTCAAGCAAATTAGGTGGTTCACTCGGAGAAACCAAGCACATCAGCTGGAGCACTTTGTATCAATTGTTGCATTCTTTAACTTCAGCACGATACACAAGAGCGGGACCCAAGCATTCGTCCCAACGATTTTGATGCCTCGACCTTCATAAACAACCGAAAAATTTAGCATTTCAACACAACCAAAGACAAAGTTTGAACATATATTCATATCCTAACTACAGAACAGCAAGAATTGAACAAGCAGGAATCCACCAATAAAACATTCTAAGCTATTCTGAAGACTCCAGTTGGTAGTTCATTATTAGTAGTTCAGCCTTCCAAAGTCGGCAAGTAACTAGAAAACAAACTTCAAAATGAACGCAAATCTCGTTGCAATTGGCCAAAGTAACCGGCGACTATTCCAATGCCCTCTCAAAAGGCTAAACCGTCGCACAATCCTACATCGCGTACGGTTAAAGTTAATGACTCCAACAGCTTTATATCGCTTTAGCTTCATGCTGAAGCCTGGTCGGTGATGTGTACACCGTGATCGCTCAACCAACTCCGAAGGAAGAGAAAAAAAAAACAAGAAACGCCATGGTTGACGCACCTCCGGCTCTAAGCAACCGTAGGAAGCAAACCAACAAGCTATTACACTCCAGAACAAGCCGAATTCGGCCGTGAACTACTCAGTTCAGCATCACAGATTCGGAACTGCTGCAGTCGCTCTCCTGATCTATGCTATACAGTTTTAAGGTTTGAAGAAGAAAACGGAAACGGGAGAATAGAATAAACAAAGTGAGCAAACGCGTAAACAATTCATTTTCCGGCCAATTCAAAATCGAGAGCGGAAGCAAATCGCCCCGAGCAGAACTCGAAATTCAGATGCAGAAACTTGGAATTTTTCAAATGCGGAGGCGGAACTGCAAACTAGGAGAGGAACCAATCCGAATCGGCAGAGAGACTCGCAGTCGCAGAAGATAACAAAAAAAACCTCCACCGACCGAGCACGAAGATCTCCACCGATTCGATTCAGAAGGACGAATGCAGATTGAAGGAAGACGGATCAGAATACTTACGCCGGCGAGCGGGTGGAGATCGGAGCAGAAGCAGTGTTGCGAGAGCGGGGATGCAGACGAGACAGCGGCGCGGCGCAGTGAAGAGAAGACGAACAAAAATATAGGGAGCAGTGTGTACTGTGCAGTAAAGATGTGGAAGAGAGATTTGCAGAGAGAAGGTGACGCCACCACCGGCTTCCTCCTCTCCTGCTTTGCAGATTGAAAATTAACGAAATTAAGAGAAAAATACAAATACAAGAATTTTAAAAACAGAAAAGCGAAAAATTGAAGCAGTGTGCTACGTGTCGGAAGATGCATATAGACAGCGATACTTTATTTGTACAAATTCGACGAAGACAATGATTTTATAATTAATTAAAGTGCTAATTAACTTTTTGGATGAAGAATTAAAGTTTAATTATCATCTAATAGGTGACGATTAAGGTCCAAAAGGTAGGTTTAGCGTCCTCGCAGGTAGGCTAAGCTTTTTTTTGCCTGTTTTACTTTTGGCTTATATGATATAACTATGAAAAATAAATAAAATAGGACAGATTTTGAAATGCCAAATAAATGGAAAGTAAAATGAAATATATCAAAAAGAAAAAAATCAATGCATAATTCTGCAATCTATAAGAAATTAATTGATTTCATATCACGACTCGTTAGTTTGGGTCCGAGATATTAGGATATTGCGTCAAAATAGTCGGATCATTATCAGCTGTTTGCCTGTTTTACTTTTTTTGCTTATATGATAACTATGAAAAATAAATAAAATAAGACCGATTTTGAAATGTGAAATAAATGAAAATTAAAATGAAATATATCAAAAAGAAAAAAAAAATCAAAGCATAATTCTGCAATCTATAAGAAATTAATTGATTTCATATCACGACTTGTTAGTTTGGGTCCGAGATATTTGGATATTGGTAATGACACGTCAAAATAGTCGGATCATTATCAGTTATGGATTCATACAAGTATCGATTACTACCACAGTTGCAGAATGTATTTATGGGCACAGTATTATGTGATTTTGCTGCTGCACAACCCACCCCATCCATCCAAGTTCCAATGCATCATCGCCTTAAGAGAATAACTTACCCTACTCAATAAACCAATTCGCAATATTTCGAAATTTACTCAGTGCATCTGGACGCATTTCAAGGTTGGCTCGCTCATCTTTTATAAAATGTTGCTTTTCACGTATGATATTTGATACAGATCCATATAACAAAAAGTATAACAAGTACTGAAAATAAAAAATGTTAAGTAACCTCTTAATCCTGAGTGATATATAACACCAAATATTGTCCTCTCACAGCCAAATTGATAGAAACATATACATCAAATCAGTTACATAATCATACTCAATGCATGTATATAAGGTAGCCAATATGCATGTACCCAATGATATTCTACAATGCAGAAGTTAATAGCTACCTTTTCCTAAAACTTGAGATGGAAATAACTTAAACAGAAAGAAAATCAACCTCAATATCATAACCAGATTGGTTCTGCATTCTGCAATGAATCCCCTGTTTTCTGGATCTAACCAATTATATTACTTGACAAAAGAGACAACACGAACAAGAAAGAAGCCACTTTTGGCTTCCATTTCCTCTCTTTTTCCCCCTCTTTCCAGGGGTCTCTTCACCTCTTTTGGCAACCCTTTTTTTTCCTCTCAGCCACTTCCAAATTAAAAATACATACGTATGAACAAAGAATAGTAATAATCAACAACAATGAAACAGAGTGCAGATCAATCAGAACTTGACACATCGATGTGGCAGACCAGTCTGGTGATCGACAGCAACAATCTCAGTGGCATTGTCACACTTCAGCACATCCTGCCCCAACTTTGCACCAGCAGCTTTCAGACCCTTCAACGACACAGGCTGATTGAACAAGTTCAAAGAGGGCAGCTTCGAAACCGGCGGGAACTTCGCACCAGGCAGCATTCCCCTGAAGTCATCCTTCATCAATGGCACCTCGAAATCGGTCTTGTCGTGCTTCACCACGTTGTCTTTAGCCGAAATGTGAGCCCCGGGCTCCATGTGGTTCGTCGAGAAGCTCGCCTGACCCGGGAAGTTAGGGTACAAGCTGACATACCCTCTCAAGTACATCATGTCGATCAAGAACTTCTTCCACGACGCCTGCCACCCGTTGGTTCGAGATTTGGGGATCTGGACCGGGTTCGATTTAGCATCTTCGGTGAACCTCATGTTCATGTAGACGTAGAATTCTCTCCATTGCTTGGGGAAGAAGACAGCTCCCCAACTGCAGGGGAGCTGGTGGAGGTAGGGAGTGTTTGGGTGGATTCTCTTGAAAAAATCTGTGGCATTCCACTTGGGCCTCTCCTTCACTACTTCTACGAGCTTCGGGGTGTACAACGAGATCGAGGAGAGCTCGGGGAGCGATACCTGGGGGTCGTAGTGGTATGCCAGGAGCGCGTACTTGATCCAGAGGTAGTAGTATGGGGAGACCTCGATGTCGTCCTCGAGGAGGAGGCCAAAATCGTCGTCCGAAGCAGGGTACCAGCTCTCGCTCACGGCTCGAATCAGGCCTCCCTGGATGATCCTTCTTCTCAAGGTCTTAGGACCATGTGGCCAGTTGAAAGTGGTCACTAGCCTTATTGTGGCTTCATCCACTTTGCTGTCCATGTTGAATGTGATTGGTACCTCATCTCCCAAGTAGTATGCATTGCTTAACGAATTGAGTAGCCTTGTCAACGACGAAACACGATTTTGAGTGATGATGTTGACGGATATTCTCATCTTGTTCCAATCTGCATTTTCAATCGAATAAACAATTTATCAGTCAAATACAATTTTCAAGTTCTTAGAGTTAAAAAGTTTGGTAATTATGTCAATTGTGTTACTTACTTGGCAAGGCAGTGGATCTTAGGTCAGCCATCCAGAGGGTCTTGGGAATAGAAGCCCTAGGGAGAAGCACATAAGTGGTGGTGCCATTATTACTCTCCACAGCCATCTTCAAAGCTTTCTTCACATCAGAATCGACATCATTCACCGTGATCACCACGCTCGGATTGTGCATTTTGATCAGCCCTTTCATACTGGCATAAACCGATTGAACCACGGGCACCTCGGAGTTCGATACACCTGCCAGTGCCCCTACTCCGAGATCGAATATCTTGAACCTCCTCTCCTTGCACACCAACTTAGGCCAGTTCAGTGCAGTTGCAGCATCCTCACAAGGGCAGAACGTCCCACCGGGGACAGCAATGTACGCTTTCTTCCCCACCGTCGACCTGAACTTCTCGAGGAGCGGGCTCAGGACCTTCACCTCGTCGATGGAGTGCGCATAGAAGAGTGCATCGATCTTCTGTGGGTACATCTTAGCCCACTGTGTCACGTAACCACTCGACATCGCTCTCCACCATTGATCGTCGCGCACCTGGACCACGTCCTTGAAGATCACGGTGGTCTCGGACACATAGGCTAGCCTGTGCTCGCTGTCTCCCCACGTCTCCTTGTCTTTTGGATCCACCGGTAGCACGAACGACCCTGCATTTCTGTACTTCTGTAGCTGGTAGCTGCAGTAAGAAGAACAAAACATGTTACTACTTTCACTCCTTAATCATTAACCAGTAGTATAAGTCAAGATTTTACTGTGGATGATTAAACAATTTCAGGAACAGAGTAATTACTACTTAGTGGATGGAATCTTAGTAGTGGAAACTGCAGAATTCCATTTCTTCAGTATTTTATTTTTGTTCTAAGCTAGGAGATTTTAAAGTATCTATCTTTACATTAAACTAAAGGAACCCAAATGATTTATAAGCAAAGAAGGGATCTTTCAGTAGCTTCAAATGTTTAATTTCTTAATCACTGGCTGCCCTGTTTTCTACTGACTTGAACATAGGCTACCAACTCCATAACATTTTCAATCATGGTCCCATAGTACTAGTTCATTTCGAATCACTTAATCTGAAACTGTGACGATCCGATGAGTTCAACATATCAACCACCTCAATTGTTATAACGACTGCTAATCAAAGTACTAAATTTTTTATTACCTAAGGTGAAGATCTTCTCCAGTCGTGAAAGTGAGAGGAGCCTCAACGAACAGAGTCCTGACAAGCTCAGCAGACAAGAACCAAGAGCTGGAGAGGAAATCAACCTGCACAATCTTATCCACCGTGATATCATAAGCAGGATCAGGCAGGTAAATTCCTGCTTCTTTTGACCTAAACTTTCTGTAACTCGGGAAAGTGAAATCCTTCTGCCTGAAGGGCAGAATCCTGCCAATACTCCCCAAAACAGAGTTCTTATACTTCTCTGTTCCTGCCACATGTGACAAAATCTGCAACATCTTCCTCCCGGGGATCATATCATCATCAACAATGTACACCAGGTCAGCTTCCGTCTGCAATGCGAGCTGGAACCTCCCGTAGTACTTGAAATCGTAGCTCGAGCTCACGAAACTAATCCGCGTATCGTTGTAGCTCTCCACGATCCGCTTGAGCGACTCCTCGTTGGGGGAGCCGAATGCCAGCACCCAAACATGGTGGAAAGGGAGAGTCTGGCGGAGAAGCGAATCCAGCTGAGCACACAGCGTCTTGCGTTTGAAATGGTTGAGGATGACAGTCACTTTCGGCCGAATCGGGTTGCGAATGTCCCACCTCGACTTCATCCCCATGAGCTGGACCAGAGACTCTGTCCCGATTGTCGTCCCCTGGAAGTTGAGCACCTCGTCGTAGAGCTCCCTCTTGAGCTTGATCATGGCGGAATCCGTTGACTTCTTCTGCAAGAAATCGATCTTTTCGTGCTCGCAAACCTGTGATGGCACCACTGACGCAGCAGTAATGTCCTGTTGTTCGCGGACCAGCGAGGCCGCGGACTCCTGGTACCGCCCCACGACGTGGGGCGGTATGAAGAAGTGCCGCTTCCAGGCGTGGGCCACGCGGCTGGCCCACGCGAAGTCCGGCTTCGTCCGGAGGTCGATGGTCGGGCTCATGTAGTAGAGGAGGAACGTCGCGTAGACCGCGAACGCGAACTGGAGGCAGGTTAACGTGGTGACGAGGCGAGCAGAACTCGCTGCTGCCGAGCTTCTGGATGGTGGCGGTGCCGTCTTTGTATGCTTGTTGGAGCCTTTACCTCCTCCTCCGACGTAATCGCTTAACATTCCTTCCAGGTAGTCCCCGCTCTTGAAGGTCCGCGTCATGCCCATCTTTGCCGACGACCACCGTGCCCTGTTTTCAAGAATCAAAAGAAGATGGAAGTTAAGTATTCGTAAGTCCCAGGAAAGCACATTTGCACTGGAAGACGAGGGACGGAACAGAGTCGAGACTAACCAAAACCAAATGAATGAATGAAAATGGGGGAAGTTATCGATCGATTGGAGGAAAACGTGAAGCTGGTTGTGGATGGAGGAAGAAGAAGAAGAAGGGAGGAAAAACGTTGTTGTGAGGTGGGTGGTTATTTTGCAGTGGATCCTGTGCCAATGGAGTTTATATAAGAGGAAGAAAGAATGGTGGAAAGTTGAGTTACTTTGAGACCCGAAAAAGAATAAAGAAAGGGCGGGAGAGAGAGCATTAAGTGCTGCTCCATGAGAAGTGCATCGAGGGAGGAAAGGTCACATGGGCTAAACGTTGAGATGGTTAAAGACCAGAAAAAAGGAGGAGGAGGAAGAAGAAGACGAAATGAATTGTTTTTTCTTTTTTTGTTTTGCTACGTCTAAATTAATTAATTAAATTTAATTATAGATCAAGATTTTTTTCTCTGTTTTCTTTGCTTTTGGTCAAACGCGTCTCCTTTACAACTTATAGATTCATGTAACGTCCCCATTTCTTTCCCTCGATAGCATGTATACAAACCTTAAAACACAAAGTTTGTTCTCATAAGGGAACTTCTGCCTTCTGGTGCAGATTTCAGGCATCGCAGCAGGAGGATAATACCGAACGGGATGAGATCCGGTGACAATCCCGTCTGGTAGCTTATCGCTCTTTTAGGGAGCGCTATCAGAAGAAGTGATATGCTACCAGAGGGGGTTGTCACGGGATCTCATCCCTAACGAACGTGTATAGACAAAATTGATTTTATGATGATCTATCAATGCCCTTTTTGCTTAAACTAATTTTAGGTGTTTGAAAAAGAGTTTTGATAGACGATATTACCGAATCTAAATATGAAATCTCGATCGTTGAACTCAGTCCAAAGCTTTAATTACCAATGATGTATGTTGCGCATCAACTCAGTCACTGCTCTAAGCACCGTCAATAAGTGTAGAGAAAATTATCGAAGACATGTGACATTTCGGCACAACAAACTGGTCAAATCTTGGGTTTTTATTGTGATGTTAGAATCTCACAAGTTTATAGAGAATGTAATTTCACAGCCGAATTTCTTAGTTAGTATGACTCGCATCAATTCTCTTGGAACACATCCATTCAATGATCTTCTACTATGTAATGAGTATCATCCATAACCATTCTATTCGTAATACAAAATTTTTTTTTTCATAATACAAATTGAGATATCATTAAGTGTTTTTTTTTTAAGGAAAGAAAGGAAGGAAGCCGGTTTTGTTGGCGGAGGAAATGGCTAACCCTGCGTTTCTAGCACGGCCTCCATTATTACTATTGCTACTACTTGTACTACTAACCACTCAAGTCTATTTACTCTGCCATTAAGTACAAGCTAATTATTTAATTACTCAAATGAAATCCCGATTCCAGAAGAATGATTGCATTTGCATATGGAAGAAGAAATATAATTGTAAAATTAAGATTCCACCACACAGAAAACAACACGTAAATTAGATCACAACTGGCCATCGTCAAGACTTCAAATACACATCTCCCTAGGCCAAGAGCATCCAATATATATTTCAGAGCAAGTAAAGAAGTAATTACCAATGTCAATCAACTTCTAGTCCAATGCTTCTGCTATTACAACAGTGTCATCACTTTTAAGTGTTGGGTTTGAATCTCGCCAACTCTCTACGAGTTTCTTTTTTTAGAGTCGTTTTGAGAGTTATGTATGATAAATTGTTATCTTTGTAATGAACAGCATATGTTGATATAATGGATATATAAATGAAGATTACTCGGTCCGATTATCAGGACTTGGGATTTATGTTTGATTTAGATTGCATTACTTTTTAAGAGAAAATTTGCCATAATACAAAAAAAAAAATGTAGCGAAAATGTAAAGAAGATGGGACATATAAAACGAAACCAATAATATCTGAAAATAAAAAATGAAAACAAACTCATAAAACTCCGAGATCGTTTATTTTTTGTCGATTTGGAAGGTTTCGCATTACAAGACAATACATGTATTTGTTTTACGATTTGGAAGAGATACAAACGCTACATATTTAATTTGTACTATTCATGTATTCATTGACTGTACAAGGTCTAGAATGCAATGTTATGGTTTCCCTAATCACCCCAACATTCCTTAAACCTCACTTATCAGTTATCACCCTAACTTATCTCACACTTAGCTCGTTTGATTCTCTTAAGTCAAAACCAAACAACCCAACGCAATAAAAATAAGAAAGAACTCCAAACAATCTCACAACAACAGAAGGAATCAATCATATATCTTTAGTTTATTAGTTTGGAAAAGGGGCAAAAAAGAAGCCCTTTTCTTCCTCAGCAAATTAATGAAAGCCGATCGATCGAAGAAACCAGAAATCAGCTCAGAACCGCCCCACAGAGAGAGAGAGATCGAGTTGCAGAGAAATTAAGTTAATTATCATATGAATTAATGAATTAATTCCCCCCTACGAGTGCACAATAAGGTATTTAAAAATTTTGAGTATTAGTACGTTACCATGGGAGCGTTGACTTTCGTGGTGGTGGCGCGTATATTCGTTGAACGTACATTGATCGACCGAAGATGAACATGGAAGCAAAAAACAAAGCAAAAAGAGGAGGAGGAGGAGAGTCAACGGCTCAACGCTGATCACCAATTTCTCTTCCTCCGTCTGAATGGCTTTACGCCAAACTTGCGCCTACTTGAAGGTTTCTTAAATCTTGGCCAGAAAATCAGGTCATTCTTCCTCTTCGAATCATTTTTTTTGCTCCAACAAGGGACGAATCCACAGAATGAATACGTGTGGACGGGCGGCTGTTTTATGATTCAACCCAAAATGTAACTTCAGTAGTAAGGGAGCAACAAAAAAAAAAAATTGTTCGTAGGGTTGACTGAATGGTAAAATATTACGTATCCGAAAGAAGGGAGATGGAGATGGAGAGGAAGAAGAAGGGAGACATTTGATGGAATTCGTGGACTTGATATTAGCAGCTATACTAATTGCTCTTTTGTGGGTTTTGTTTAATTAAGAGGATTAGAGACTGTAGTAGGTAACCAAATCGTTTTTGTATGTGCATGAAGACGAAACCAAAGTGTGTAATTAAATTGGGTTTGGTACGTCTGGAAGATAGCTGATGACGGGATAGTCTATTGGTTCGAGACGACTCATGGTTCGTTTGGATGAGTTAATTGTCAATGTGGTATTTGTAGAGTCAAATTACTCATTTATTGTTCAGGTGGTATTCCAGTGGTAATTGAAATAAAATATCTCGTTTGGTTGAACCATGCAAATAAGGTATTTGACATGTGGTATTTGGTAAAAGCAGAGTGGTAAAACGAGTTATTTCTCAAAATAACACATGGGTATGAGTGACTGTCCAAATAACTCATTTCAGTAAAACGTTGTCAAGCGAGTTATTTGTGTCCAAATAACTCATTCTGACTGTGAGTTATTTGAACAAATAACTCACAGATAACTCATACAAATACTTCATCCAAACAACTCCTGAATATAAATGTCAGTTAGTAGGTCTGGTTTGAAAACCAAATTTTAGATTGCTTTTTAAAAAATCTCGGTACAACACCGTCGTGCCAATACGATATCCCGAGTTATAGCAAACAATAACACTAAATATACTCATTTAGACACATATATAACTATCATTCTTGCCGTATATAAGATGCTTGTACATACTATCGTTCTTCAACGAACCAGTAAGTTTCAACAACCCTACTCTTAATAAGTGTTTTTGTAGGGAGTTTATTAAAAAAGGGTATAGTTTAATTTGCATGGATCTCCATTGATGAGGTCAACTTCAACAGCTAGCTAAGCTTACATATGAACGATGCATAAATAACAACTCTCCTGTTCTTTGACGTAATGATATATCAACCCAATCAAATTATATCTTTCATTGGAGTGAGTGTTCATGATGACTGTAGTTAGTAGTACAATAGATGCCAATTTTTTAAGATGAACACCCACCACGTCTTCACATTTGAGATTTATATCATCAAGGATTATTCGGTTCGTACATGTATAACGAAATTTTGGTACATATATTTTATTCTTGATTATATTAGTAAACGAAATTTTATATATTAAATATCACGTTAGATATCATGTTGTAATTGAAAAATTAGAAATCATGGATTTCTTCACTTCATCGTCATTTTCAAAAGATATCATGTATATGGAAAGTATTGACGAATATTCATGAAGTATTCTTCTTATGGTTCCATACTTTAGTTGGATTCAATTTTATTTGCTTTTGGTAATTGCATGATGATACTTAAAATCTTCAATTGCTGAGTTACTTGCTCTCCGTGATGAACTATAATTTTTCGATTGTTGTTTTTTTCTATTGTTTTTATTCTCATCTGGCTATCCAGTTGTTATGTCGACATAAACCACTCATTATTCGGCAGGAGCTCTTTTAGAGAAATTTCATCCACTCTTTTCATCTTCTTCGTCAGTGTCATGCTTCTCGTAACTTCAACTGAGTTGTCCACTTAGTGACAGAACGAGCTATTTCAAAATATTCATTTGCCAGAAATATCATGTGGCATATGACTCGGAAAATTCTAACTCAAGGGTTATCGACGGATCAAATAAAGACGGCTTAGTTCGTGTATATGGGGATGACTTAAAATAAGAATTCATATGTTAAAAGATATAGCCACTTATAGTTCATCTATCCCAATGATCAGTTTTACAAATTTTAAATGTTAAATTAACCTTTCTTACCTATATAATACTATCACCACTGGTTACATTTTTTGCTGCCGGATTAAAATAAAGGTTACTTTTTGCTGCAATTTGGTATCAAAACTGATATAAAGTCGGCTAATTAGGACTCAACTCTGAACTCCTCAAGTTATTGACATTTTCCACCTAAAACATGGATCACATTGACCTTTATTAGAGACACAATTAATGGGCCATAATTAAGAGAGATGTTATTAAATTAACCAGCTCCACACTTAATACTGCCACTAACCACTGATTCTCGCGCAAGATTAGTCGCTTAATTAGTCCATGGTTTAAGGTTACATCAAATTCTGTACCCACCAAAGCCACGTACCATATCAATTAAAAATTCTTCTTTCCTAATAATTTGTTCCGAAGTGTTCTCAAATTTTAGATTTTGAACGCTTGGGTGTTAGCTAGGTCTCAAGCTCTGTGGTGGTTTACTTTTCCAAGAAATTCAAGCTACTGCATCTAATAAGACAAATTAAAAACTAGCTACATTAATATTATGTATCAATCTACACAAGCTACATGCTCCATGTTTGTGCCTTGATCGAGAAGCAACCCAATAGAAAGATATTGATATGAATCAGTAAAATTGATCGTATGATACCCCAGTAAAATTTTATAAAAAAAAAAAGCTTTAACGAGGGACATGAGTGAGGGATTGAATTCTGGTTGATGAAACTATGTAAATCTAAAGAGATTTTAAACCGACCAGTCTTACAGGTCGTTTAATCCCGCGTCGATCACTTGACTTGTTCTTTCGTGGCTCAAGCAAGAGTGCCATAAATCAAGCACATATACATATCTACATATATTCAAATTAGTCGGATATAATAGTGAAAGTACTATATATACGGGGATAAAAAAAAAAGTGGGGGTGCAATTCTAGTTCTCCTTGCTTTATAAATGGCAATGGAGATAGCTATTAGGGAATTATATTCCATAAAGAAAATTAACTTCTAATACCCAATAAGTAGTTACAAGGAAAAATCAGTCAATGGAAAGTTCCATTCCATCTTTCTCATACATTTTCACTTTAGTTAACTCCATTGGCTGTATTAGTTTGTACATTGAAAAGTAACCACGAGAGCTGTTGATGAGTTGATGGGCAAAAAGAGGAAGTAAAAACACCCAACATGAAACAAAAGTAAATTAAAGGGTGACTGAGGATTGAATCGACTAATTTGCAAAAGAGAAAAAGAGGGGAGTAATCACTTACTTGCATGTTTCCGGTGAAGACTCGTTCTTGTGCTTAGCCGACCTCTGCTCAGTTATATATTGATGATATATTCGCCGGAAAATTTGGCTTTTAGTTTAATGCAAAGCATGGACGACGTCCGATCAAACTCACATGCTCTGCTCTTGCAAGTTGCATGTGTGTGTTCGTCGTCGATGGCTAGCTACTTCGATCGATCTCAACCGTGGACATGGCATATAATTATTAATTAGGACACGTAGAGTAGTGCCAATAATGTAAACGATGAATTAAGGATGTCTATTAATTCTTATGCTTTGTTTAGCACATACTATACTATAGCCCTCGATGTTACATGTCACGTCTAGCTACATGGTTACTCTAGATGATGTTGTGCATGGTCATGTTGATTGTCGCGTGATAATGAGGCATGCAAACTTATAAACATAACTAAATGAAACCCAGTCATCTGTTTGCGCCAATTAATTAGTCATCGCTTACTTTAGTTCTCTTCTGGCATATACTTGAAAGTATTTGACAGATAGACGAAGATTTACTGGTTGTTGTTGACGGGTGTGTAAATTAGGTTTCTGTGTGGCTGGATATGCATAATGAGTTTGTGATGATGTATGAACAAATTAACTCAACCAATATATATTATTTATTAATCAACCCTAGTAAGTTATGGGTAACCATCCATCCATTCATCCATCTAGACCGAGCTTATCAAACTGACACTAGGGATGGCAATTTACCCACCCATGGGTAATTTTGCCCAAACCCAAGTAGACCCATTTATTATGGGTAGGGTTTGGGTGATGTGTGTATGGGTTTGGGTGATGTATATGGGTTTTGGGTTAGATATGGATATTATCTAAATGGGTATGGGTTGGATATGGATATCCATTTACTTGAGGGTGTCTTAACTACACATGCAAAAATTGGACTTATTTGTAAAACTTGAAAAATTTAGGTACCAAAATGTAAGACCAAAAAAATTTAGGTACCAAAACGTAATTTTCCATCGATATTTTGAGGACTTATATGCAAAAAAAAAATTAAATTTAGGTACTAAATATGCATATCTATTAAGTTTAGGTACCAAACTGTAATTTGTATTTGGGCATGGGTACAAACCCAAATCCATTTGTTATAAACCCAACCCAACCCAAAGTAAATGGGTATGGGTACAAACCCATCAAACTTTACCCATATCCATATATTTGGATTTCATACCCAACCCAATTGGGTTGGATAGTAAAATACCCATGGGTATGGGCATGATTGCCATCCCTAACTGACACCACGGCAAAAAAACATAGATGATTTCCATTTCCTATGATCTGAGTTTGGGTTGCTTGTTGTCGAATTGAGATACATGGATATCAGTTGGTCGTAAAAGGGGGCCAACTCCTAGTCCGATTGACTCATGACTCGCTTGTAATCAAATATGATCAAGACGCAACAACATTATTTTTTGTAGAAAGGAACTACAAACACATACAATGACCTTATAACCGAAAATCATACATCGACGACTGTCTTAAATCTTGACCATACTGCCACTTGTTTAACTTTTACTCACTAAACTAACTCTATCAATCCAATCTTATCATATGGAAAATAACTTTTTTTATTTTGAGAGGAATCTAATCCTAGCTAGCTAGATTATATATGACCAAGAGGCTAGCTAGGGACTTAATTTATGTGACTCTAATTTAATTTGTTCCCTGTTTTACTATGTATTTTTACCGATGCATTGGTGTCAACTCAAATCACATGCAAGACTGATCATGCAAGTTAGTTAAATATAATTAGAAGGCCAGAGATAAAAGTCAACCTCCGATGATCTAATCGATCTGCGTAATGCCATAAATGTGCACTTTGTCGCAGTTTTGACTTTTTGACTTTTCCAACTAGCCAGCGAGGGGGAAAAAGAACTTCAGTTTCCTTTTGATAGATGAATGAAGGGCTTTCTCTAAAAAAATGAATTAATATTGATAAAGCTCAAGAACCTCATCGAACAATATAATTACTAATTAGCATTGGGTTTTGCTATGAGGAGGTTAATTGACAAATCAAGAAAAACAAGTTAATCGTTATCTAAAAATACACTAGTTTTATGTTAGTTCCATCCGATCCTTTGGTAAGTAATAACACATTTCATTTTTTTTTTTAAGAAAGAGTACAATTTATTATTTACATTTTCTTAGTATTAAAGTTGCACGAGAGTTAGAAAAGTGTAGATGGAAACCTTCTCTCAACCCTTCAACGAGACTCGGTGGTACTAGTCGTGCTGCCAGGTCGCAAGATTCTAACAACGTTCAACATAAGTGTCTCAATGAATATCGTTATTGTGTTACTTTTCATTCAAACCTTTTCGTAACATTTACGCCTAGGAGTCAAATGATATGATATTCTCATTTTCAAAACCAAAAAGATAATAATCAAATTGCTAGGCTTGATCTCCACTAAGGAAATATTCACATTTGTTTTATCCTTTCCAAAATTTGTTTGGTGAAGACTTTGTGTATTTTTATTGTTTACAAGAGTGGCCTAGTGCTAGTGGTTGTAGAAATTATTTTTTCTTTCTTCTTCTTCTTTTGCCTATTCATATTGTCCATGAACGTGTGCTGAGTTAGTATAGTGGACTGCGCCATTAACGATTCCCCCTCTTGTTTGTTCTTCTCTCCCGTCTCCACTCTCCAATGGTCGATCGATCTCCATTACTTGTTTAATCAAGTTTGGCGAAATGTATACATTTCAAGGGATTTTGGTCTAAACTATCGTGCTTTTTTAGTCACTCTTTCTAAGTGGACTACTACCTAATTCCATGCATTTCAAGTTAACAATTATGACTCAATCATCCATTTCTATGAATTCAAAGAAAGTTCGTAATGAATGTGGATAAGAATGCACGTCGGATGACAGGATTAATCCATGATTCGGTCTGGAACCTAAATAGGAATAGGATCAAACCGCACCTATGCACTAATAAGCAAATGCTTTGAACAATCCATTTGATGAAATAGAAGAAACATTAAGCGAACAAAAAAAGGAAGAAAAAGTAAAGTGCATTTTACGATAATGTATGATTCGAATAGACAAATTAGACTAATATCTATATAGTAACAATATAACTCCGAAAAGTGAACTAGAAAGTAGAAACATTAAAACGGGGCAGCCAAAGCTTCCCTCTCAGCTGGTTCACCTTGTTTAGGTTAATTTGTTTCTTTCAAGCTCAAATCGAAATATATATTACAATTTTCCAACATAAAAAAAAAAGCGATGCTGGAAACTACCTTGCCATCATTTTCTTTTCTCGTTACAATTCTAATGGTTGTTGGTTTCATCGAGAGAATTCGCATTTGGCAGAATGACCCAATTCCAAGCGCTCAATCTCCCAGCTAAGCTTTGATGCAACTTTCTCATGCCTTGGCAAGTATTCCTGCACCACAACAACAACAAATTATACATAGTGAGCAACAAATTTCACAAGCGTGCTAACAGAGATATGCATGACGATGAGGATTGACTCCGTCGGATAATAGAACATATATATTACCTCCATTTTCTTGACTAAATCTTTGGCATTGGGTGCAGAAACAATGATATGGCGTGCACTCGGAATGATGAAGCCTTCCTCCACAGCTTTGTCGATGAATGACAATAGTGAATTATAGTACCCATCCACGTTCAACAATCCCACCTGATGAATTCATCAAATCAAAAACCACCAAACAAACGACTTCATATGTTTTAGCTAAGTTAAAAGAAAGAACACTTAAGCTTGAGTTTTTGGTATGTTTAAAATCATTTACCGGCTTGTCATGAATCCCTAGCTGGGCCCAAGTTATGACTTCAAGAAGCTCCTCTAGTGTCCCATAACCACCTGCAGCCCAAATCCAATTTCAGTTTATTGAGCCCAAAAAGATTACCTACATGATAGTTGGGCTAAGTTCATTAAAAGATGTGGGATGGGCCTTCCTTCTTTTACTAAGAAGTAAGAAACTGACTTTTGTTTTTTCCCCCGCAATTTATTAATCTGAAATTTGAACATTTCTAGCTCAGGGATATATAATCTCTTATTATCTGAAATTAGGGTTTGGTCTAAGGATAGTTTTCAATTGGGGGATCTCATATGAAATTCTACTAAGCCTATCAACCCCAATTACTCCAAGTTAAGCACTGTAGATGACTCACGATTTATAAAGATTTCATGTCGTTTATCGAATCACAGAAATCGCCTATCATTATACATGTACAATATATAAGTATTATAAACTAATTACATCATTCAATTTTTCCAAATCAAACGGTATCATTATTTCATTTTAACAACATTATTACACCCCACAAATATCCCATAAGTTGGACCATGATGATTTTTTCTACTACCTCTAATAATAGGATTCCGCAAACCATGCATTTTCACCGAATGTTAATCAACCAAACACCAACCGAAACCCATCATTAAAATCACCAACCGAAACCCATCATTAAACCTCAAATCATAGAACCAGTAAAAAACCCTTTCAAAAAAGATGGAAAAGTAAATGATGTGGAAAGGAAGGAGTGTGTCGACTTTGACTGGACAAAAGGCTGAATAAACCCTACAACTTTTTTTTTATCACAGGGATGAGTCACCAAATTTGTAAAAACTAAAAATGTCGGGACCTTTTCTGTTCTGTTTTACTTTTGTTGGGTCATCTGTGTTTTGTTGTTTTCTTTTGGTCCCTGCTCTGTTTGGTACCACTAATAATAATAACACACATAATTGCTCTTGCTTCCTGCTGTTTTTGCTGGCAGATCACAGCAGAGAAGATAGGATTGTGATTTCGGGATAAGGGAAGAAACTGGACCATCCTCATTCGTCACGTCAATTTATACCCACAAATCGGGTTTAGCACGACGATCCTACAATCTCATCCGTTAAATAAATACGCGTGGAACACTCTTATACGCGATTGTCGCTCTTTCGGTTAAAACCATGGTGCAATCACATCCAATCTTAACCCATTAGGCATGGTAGTAAAACAGGAGGGAAACGTAACACGAACCAGGTAGAGCAATGAATGCATCGGAGTGGCGAGCCATCTCTGCCTTTCTTTGGTGCATGTCTGCAACTGCTTTCACTTCTCCCACTGTTACTCCAGTTATCTGCAAAAAAAAAAAAAAAAAAAAGTGTAAAAGGCTGTTTTAATCACTGTAATGTGGAAAAATCTTGTTGGATTAATGGGGGAAAGCTGCATAAAGGTGGCAGATAATTGATATGAAATTGGGTAAAAAAAACCATGGCTGTGTGTTGTCACATTCAGGTATCTGGTGGCTATATTTTTCCTAAAGCGATGCTCTTTTGGTAAAAAGTGTGAAGGTAGTTCCTCCACGAACAGTCTTCCATTCGCGTTTTGGTCTCTTTTTGAGGAGATAGCAAAGGAGAGGTAGAAATTCATGTCAAAGCAGCTACCACACAACACCCTTTTCTTCTTTCTTTTTGTTATTAAACAACCGAGCTTTAAAAAGAAAGAAAAACGGCAATGAAATTGACCATTTAATAGGAAGAAAAAAAAGCAAAGACTAAATGGATAGAATCATTCCCATGTCATTTTCTCCTTCTTTGCCGTTTTTATCTTACGTAGTAATTTTTCACGTCAATTTGTACGCTCTTTTAAACGAGCCATCATGTTCATAAAAAAAATAAATAAATCGAAACATAGTAATTATTCACGTCAATTTGTACGCTCTTTCACGCGCATCATCATGTTCACAGAAAACAAATCGAAACGTAGTAACTATTCATGTCCAACAACCAACATCAACGTTGTAAGTAGCATTTTTAGACCTCAAATCATCCTTTTTCATCTCATTTGTCCCTAATTTCTTATATTATATTCACCTAAACCCTAAAGCATGTGCAAACGAAGACTGAAGAGTAGGAGGTTTTACCTCTTGGGGCATTAATGTCTTGGGAATGACCCTGCTAGGACAAAACAGTCACTATAATCAGTTAAACAGAGCAAACAGAAGAATGAACAGAGTAGGGGTCAACAACTGGATTATGTTGATGGTGATTAAGCTTTTTTTACCCGATGACATGGCGGCCTCCTTCGTAAACGGCTTGAGAAATGAGTCCCATCAGGCCGATACTACCTCCTCCGTACACCAGATCAATATTCCTCGACACCTTCAAAAACCCACCACCAAAACCCCTCTCATGGTTTAGCTTATTATACAGAGGATAATAGGAAAAAAACAGAGCAAATCTTAAATGTTGGCCCTAAACCTTTCAAATGGCACCATGTCTGCCTACAAAGTCCCCTTTTTTCTGGTTGTAAAGACTGAAAATGAAGATTTTGGGTGGAAATTTTGGATCCACATGTTGGGTAATTGAGGGGGGAGAAGGGAATACTACGCAGGAACAGAGAGGAAAACAGAGTGTGTTGCTTACCAGTTCTCTGCCGAGCTCGATGGCAGCATCTTTGTAGCTGGTCTTCTTCCCAGGGCTACTCCCGCAGAAAACACAAACCCTTTTGAATTTCGACTCCATTGTTTCCATCTCCATCCCCATCTCTCTAAACTTTGATGATAAAATATCTATCTCCTGCTCTGTTTTTTTCTTTTCTCTGACTCTCGTCAAAAAGTGACTTACCACAAGGCAGCAAAACAGAGGAGAATGAAGGGAATGGATTTGAGTGGGAAGTGGAAGTGGAAATGGTGGGGGGGCTTCCTCTCCAATATATAACGGCGAAGCAGAGGAAGGCGAAGGGGCCACTTGGATTAGCAATTACTGATGTTAAAACCCCTCCAGCAGCAACATCACATCCCCACGCGTAGAGATTAACAATCAAAACGGGGCACGAAAAAGGAAGAAAAGATTTCTCACTTCACTTCTCCTTCTTGTCGTTTTCAGGTGGGGGGCGACTCTGTTTTCTTACCTCACCCTATAAAAGACTCCCAGTCTTCCATTTTGATTTAACATTCTGTTTTTATCGGGCATAGTAAGAGTTGATTTAAGTTCCACATTGTGTTGAGTAAGTTTTGGTTTCAACTAGGGGCATATTGATGTTGGGGGAAAAAAGTTGATCTAATGCTTTTAGAACTTTGGAGAGTACTTTGGAGCGTCGTTAGATGCGCATCTAACTCGTCGTCGAGAAAATAATTCGAGACTATACAACTCTTATGGAGTCTAGGGTGCTAGGTTCCTTACCGGCCTGCTAGATTGGTTACTCGCATGGCATGTTGGGCGACCTATCTGTTTAGGGATCTCTTGGGATGTTGGGTGGTTTAGTTTTGTAGGATATACGAGGTCGTTTATCGTCATGGAGTAGTTGTGTATTCTTGTGAATCGTCCTGACTACAAATTTTGTATGAATTTGTGGGGCAACTGAGTTAAGATTAGAGAAGTAGAAGGGATAACCATGACAATTGAAGATATTGTAATTTTGTAAATGGTTTGGGGGATATGGACACATGTCAAGATCTTCAATCGTTCCTAGTTTCAACTAACTTTATAACCTAATCAGGTGTCGACCGTGTCGTCGGATTAAAGCGTAGCGTCATGTGCTAGTTCGTTTATGCTAAGGACATATTAAAGGTGTTTCGAGCAACCCTATGGAGAAGACCTATGGCAAAGGAAAGAAGCATTGCATTTTTCAAAGGTGTGCAACAGAAATAAGGCTCCATAATATATGGGTTTTCAAATCAAACCAAAATCATAATTCCATATAATTTAGCCCCACATAGACAAAGGCAAGAAATCATATTCTTGATAATAAAAAAAAACAAATAGTCATGTTTGACATGCCTTTGTTATCTGCATAGGAAACATTCATTTCATATTTTACTTTTCCAATTGATTATCTATTGTTGAATTCCAAATTCCAAAAGGAGAAGATAAAAACTTCTGGTTGCCTGCCTCCATCCCATTTCATTTTCTTTCACTTTCCATCTCCTTATCCTCTCACGAACCAAACAATATTTATACCTTGTCGTCCCCACTCTGTTCTCTGGTACCCTTTCGTGCACTCCATCCCCCCCAAAATTACTTTCCTATTGGCTTATATCTTTTCCATCCTCTCGCATGTTGTCTTCTGATTTTGAGTGGAATTTTCTTGTTATCCCCACGTGTCGTGCTTGGAATGAGACGTTCGTATCGTGTATTCATGTTTATCGTGAAAACAATTATCTCTGCACATAAAAATCACAAAGACTTTTCTTTATACTTATAGAATTGTTTGGATCTCTGAATCTTGTTCGATTAGTGGTACGAGTTAGACTACCGAAAACACGATCGGACCGAATTACAAGGAGAAGTGATTGCCATACCTATTGTATGACAGAGGCTGACCAAATGGCGCATGCATGCATGGCCACATGTCTGGCTGTAGAGAGCGGGCGTCCAAACAAGTAAACATGAAAATTATGGGTTGACAATATCTGTAGCCTCTTCAGTTGAATCATGAATTCTGTACTGCAGAAAACAGAGTAATTGGGTCATCTCTTCCCTGTCGAAATGTGCTGTAACTTGAATTCTAGCTTGGGAACAAGCATGTCTTGTTGTTGAGGAGATAGCTAAAGAGCAGAATGGGTGGGTACGTGCGCCTCCATAGTCCATATTGCTGCTGCAGTTCTTGTCTCCGTTATTTAATAGGCCAACTACACACAACACACTAATCGAAGTTTTTCAAGTTTTGTTTACTATTGTAGTTTTTAGTATGTGTTGATGAATTTAGTGTGTTTATGCGTTATAGATTACAACATTTGACATCAATGATTGTACTTTTAATATTATAAAGAAAAGTGATTTTGTTTAACTGAAATGCATACTAAGCATTGCCTTGTTAAAAAAAACTCAAGGTGGGTTGGTACTTGAGCCATGTAGAACTAATGAGTTGTTTGGATGAATCAATTAATAAATAAGATAATTTTTTTTATAAATTGTCTCATTTTGCGATTCGAATTATCTGTTCTTCTCCATATAATTCGAACCGACTCAAAACGGATCAATTACATTCCATATCTCTCGGTTCAAATTGATCGATCTATACAAAATTTCTGCCGACAGATGGTTCAATTATATTCAATTGTCGAATATGTCAAATTGAACCGTTACAATTTCTCGTTGTAAACAACCCTAAGTAATATGGAAGCATGGTTGTTAAAGTGTAGTGATGGCTAGGTCTCCCTGTCTAGCCACGTACCTCTGGCCCAACAGTTAGAGGCGGACAGAAACATGTGCAATTTAGGAGTGTGAGGGGGCGGCTGGTTTTTGGTGGACACTATACGAGAAAGAGCAGTCATTACTCGTTATAAGTCGGCTTTGTTGTTAGTGGTACTCTCTCTGGCCAACTCAAAGAGAAGCCCCTACTGCTTCTTTTTTTTTGTTCAGGGAAGGTGACCTATGAAATTGCAACAACCAAACCCTCCTGCACTTTGATAACACTTTTTTTATGTACAAACACAAATTGGGATGTAGCTAGCTCCATTCACCATCCAAAGAACAATAATTATGCATGGTGTTCTCTGGCTAGTTATAATGCCACCATACATCACTCAAAAGGGTTTTTTACAGGCATTGTGTGAGACTTTTCCTTGAGACAAATTATGCGAGCACTAGAGTCTTGTATGTACTTTGTTCCCAAAGAAAGATGATAAGGATGTGGGTTGATACGGTGTGCTTTCCGGGATCAATTTACATAACATAGCATTATGAGGGGGAAATTATAGTCATTGATATAAGGTTTTATGCCTCAATCTCATACTTTCGTTTTGTTGGGTATTTGTAGGTATTTACGTCATTGACGAAAACATAAATTCATTCAAGATGGGTCCGATTCATTTAAGTTTGAAGGCGGAAAAACGAAGCGAATTATCACAAAGTGGGAAAGAAAGTCGAATACGAGAGAGTTAGACTAAAAGATAATGCTATTAAATGAGTAAATGAGAAGCAACAAGGGAAATAAACGAAATTGATTGTAGGTGACCCTCAAGTTTAGTAGGTCCAGTTGCTTTAAAGTGGCATGTGGGGCTGAGGTTCCAGGGTAATAAAAAAAAAGATTTTTTTTAATATAAAAAGAGAATTTATCTAATGAAAGACATATAGGTTAATGAACACCCTATCACTTCTTGATATTAGTTATATGACCTAACGTACCCAAGAGCGCACTTTTCTTGACAATTCAAGTATACTGGGAAAAGTTCAATAGTAAATCCTTACACGAGTCACTTGTTTTTATGAAGGATCTTTATGATTATTTTCTTATATGGACTTTTAAATCAACTTGTGAATTTGAAGTCCATAAAAATTTACCTTAACTTGGATTTATGCAAAACCTCGTCATGATCAACCAATAGTCATACTCAAATTTGTGAGGATCATGCATCAATCCCATACACAACTACTGTAACATTTTGTGCGCCTAGGTAGGGATAAACAACAAGGGGCCGAAATGTGACAAGCACCAAATGAATGTTTCTGCTTTCTGGGAGCTAGTTACTTTTCACTTGTACTCTTCAACAGGAACATATGGATAGATACTTAGATTCTGAGGGATGAACATGAGATTAGATAGCTGTCTCCCGATCACTTCTGTTTACAAGAAGGCTGTTCATGACGTTGTCGAGTGGCTCGTTGCGTTTGGAAAGATTAGCAGATATCAAGGAAACCGGTGGATAAGAGTGAATGCACATAATAGGTAGAGGGTGCTGATTGTTCCAGAGGGTTGACTGTTGTTGGCAGAGGCCATGGGCGTTATCTGGTTTCTTTCTTAATGCATCTTTCACCGTTATAAAAAAAAATCTAGTGGGGGAGAAGTGTTTGCCCAACTATACATTTGGTAACTATTGAGTCGAATTAGTGATCCTCCATTATAATAAGGTATATATTGCTCCCTTTTTTCCCTCACTAGGTAACAAAAGAATATCGTTTTTTTCATTAATGAATGATTGAATTATAAGGACGGACAATCTTAAAACAATGAAAGCGAGAAGCTCATTTAGCTAGGGTTAATTTAAGTCCTCACATTTTAACTTTCATGTCTCCCATTAATGAAGGTCTTCAATATCAATCGATTAATATGATAAATTACAACGATTGTTTGAGTCTTGTTAGTGAGAAGAAAAAAAATTCTCTAGAGACAACTTAAAATAAGTAAAAACAAATCAAATGATTGGCCCTCACTCAAAACGTGCAATAAAATATTTATACGATCATTATGTAATGCTACATATAATATATTTTTTTTCAAAATTTTAGTAAGAAAAGTGACATTCTATGTTGGTCCATTGCTTCTTAATATGCTTTTTCATACAATGTCTGCACTATTTCGTATCAACCGGATACTTAGATTCTCTCACTCCACATATACTACAAACTCTAATAGAGTGACTTGTATCTAAGATCACTAATTAAGTAAGAGATGCTTAAGGAGAATCGTTTGGATGTCAATTCATTCCCAATTACTGAGTTTCAAGTTACATATGGAACATTGGAAATATAAGCCAATTTACTATTTATAGATATTGCTCATTTCGATAAGGAGAAACTTAAACAAACATGAGTTCGTCAATTTAAAGCATTCAAAATCTTAATCATTATCAGACACATAATTGCTATCAACCCCCTTATGTCATCAATAGTCTCATCCTTGTTCACCCTTTTATCTGATTAGGTAGTGTTGAAGTATAATTTTGATATTCTCCTTAATATTACCCTACACACCTTCTGGATCCATCTCCACCAATAATTAAGGACATAATTGAGACGCAATAAACATCCTATTGGACATCCTCGATGTATATCTTAGTTTCGACATCAGACTATATGTTAACTGTCAAAGAAATTTTATGCAAGCTTCTAGGATTTGATCATTTGAAACATAACATAATTATTAGAAATGTAT